ATCGCGTCGACGCCGCGCGTGGCGATCGTCCATCGACGGCGGCCGCGCTCGGGGGCTCGACGAAGGCTAATATAACGCCCAACGCGGCCGCTCCTCCTCCGCCGCCACGCGGGTGTGGGGCTGCAAAAACAGGGTCCCGGAGGATGCGTCTCTGGCGACCGCCTCCGTGCTTGCCGCTGCCAAGCTACGTGTACCTTGCGACCGCCTCGGCGGTGCACAAGAAGCTCCTCCGCGTTCACGTACTATGATAGCGTCCGCGCAGCTCGTCCGCCCAGGCGCACGAGCGGAACTTGGCGGGGCCTACTGTGCTCAGTCGTCGCCACCTGCGTCATTTCGTCGGGAAAGGACCTGGTGTCGCAGGGACGACCATCCCACGGTGCGGTAGCTGCATGGATGGACCGACAAATGATCGAGCGCACGGTATGTTGGGATCGTGCTTGCTAGTCCAGGGATGTAAGAAGTAGCTGCACATCTTTTTCGACCATGAGGATGTTGCAAAGCTGGTCGGCGAAGCTTCTTCTCCGACCCTCGGCAAGCTCGCGCACGTCGAGCCCATCATTGAAGACGAGAATTTCGAATCTGCTTGATCGGCACAGTGTGTTCCGCCCGCCCTCTCGTTCGGCGTCGTCTGGTCCCACGTGCTTTGTGTTTACTGCCAGCCTGTAGGATGCCATTCCTGGCAGCTGGTGGCGCCACGTCATAAATTAAAACCACTATTTTCGACCGAATTTCCCAATCGCCTTGTCGTCGTCCAACACGCCACATGGTCACATGGTGGCGGATGCTCATCAAGGAAAGTAACCCGGTGAAACCATTCCCTTGCGTGTTGCTCGTCGAAGCCACGCTGCATGGGAACGTGTAGGTGGTGGTGGCCATGAGCCCACGCGGTGGTCGAGACGGGACGGCATCAAGAAGACATTGCAGAGGACAAGTTGGTGTATAAGAATCATAAATAAGAACTGTGTCGAGGCTTAAATCCACGTGCCGACGGGGATGCCGTCAATGTCGACGAGCGACATCATCGGGTCGAAGAAGGCTTCGTGGCTAAAGACGTCTTCGTGCGGTAGCAGGTCGAACGTGTGCAGTGCCGGCGTCGCCTTCCCGAGGAAGATCTCCATGAGCATCTCGTCCGACTCGGTCCCGTCCATCATGGGCTTCCACTCGTAGCTCGGCATCACCGGCGTCGCTTCGTCCTTGGCGATGGGCATGAGGCTCATGAAGCTCGGCGCGGCTTTGGTCGTCGGCGGCGGCGTCGTCGGCGGCGTCGCGTCGACGCGCTCCTTCAAGGAAAAAGCCCGCGGCCTGGAGGCGGCTGTGGCGAAAGCAGAAGCCGCCATTGCGCGCGTGCGCTTCGCAGGCGTCGATGCGGCAGCGCCGGCCGCCGCCGTGGCGCACGCACTTTTGGCGGGCGTGGGCGACCTTGGTGCAGCCCTCTTCGGTGCACATCTTCTTGGAGGTCGACGCGCCGTGGCGCGAGCAGTAGTTGCCAATGCGCGCGTTGCCCGTGCAGCCCGAGTGAATGCACGGCTTCTTGCCGCCGTGGCGCACGCAGAGGTTGCGAGCAAAGACCTGGTTGTGGCACGAAGACGACCCGGTGCACTTGGCGCGGTTCTTGTGGAACTCGCACTTCCACGAGCCGTGCATGACGCTGTTGGTGCAGCCGTTGAAGAAGCACTCGGTGCTTGCGGTCGAAGTCGCTTGGCTCATTGATGTCCAGAGGAATGAAAGTTGAATTGTGAGCATCTCGCGCAGCTCGCGGGGGCCAGCTGCTCCTCAATGACGAGGCGAATTCCCGCCGGCCAACGACAAGCCACTTGCGGTTTGTATCCCCGGCTGTCCCACTGAGCTGACTTGGCATTTGTATGGCCGCGCGCTGGCAGCTGTTGCCAGGGTTGTGCGCAGTGGGAGCTTGAATGTTTTGCAACTTTTTGTACCAGAAGATCCAGTGCGCGCGTCGATAAAGGCTCGATTTGTTGTTGTTCTCGGCGGCTCCTGCTACGTTCTCGAGACCTGGACGAGCCGATGGTCTCTACTCGTGTCTGCTGCGCGTCGCCCTTTTTTCCAGCGTCAACCAAGTCCAACTCTTGTAGTACACGGTAGTCTCGCCGACATGGAGATGATGGCCTTTCCCAACTCGTAGCTTCAAGCAATTGCGGGTGCAGTGATGCCGCACTGGAATCCCTGGACCTCGTCCAGCAACTCCTTCCTGCACACCGGCTATGGACGTTGAATTAATTGCTCGACGCTTGTATGCAGGCTGATCGTCGGTCGCCAGTCGCTTCCTCTTTGAAATCCAAGCGCAAATCCACTGGACGACAATTAAATTGCAACAACCAAACATGGGTATTCCATGCCATCTGCGCGGTTGTGATCTTCACGAGCGCATACAAACACCAAGGTACCCGAGGCTTTCCAACCCGACCAGCACTCGCCACTTGTTAAGAAAGGTCGAAACGACAGCCGCGTGCAGTGGGGTCGTCATAACGCCGCCTTGCACGGGCGTGAATGATGTACGTTCGCGGTGCTTGGTTGCTGTTCAATAACGTCGTGTCGTTATAACCCACCTCGTAATGCCGCATTTCAACAAATGCCAGCACGCCCCGAGGCGCGTCATTGCCACGGGACGCACGCCGCCACTTGGTCCGACGACCGCACGCGATGCTGTGCAAGCTGCCCTCACTCCTGAATCGAAGCCGCACTGCCACGTGAATCATCCATCGGGTCGGTGCACTGGCCAACGACTCCCGCGTTGTTTTCACGCGCAGCTACACAGTGTATCACGCGCCGGTGCTTCGAACCCAGCTGGTCCTTCGGTTTCGATCGCTGCACGCGGTTGAAGGCGCTTGTCGCACCTTTCAACCTGCGGCTGTCGACCAAACGTGCTGCGTCAGAGAGCAACAAAATCGAGAACCGCCTGTCAGCCAAACAACAACCAATCTTGCCGATGTGTAGCAACAAAGTCTGGAGGGATCCAGAGAGCCCTTTGCTGCATCGTCGATTGGAGGTTGTACGTATTGATGGTATCAGGTAGCATGAATCAAGAAGCCTCGCAATGGACATTGGACGAGGACAATTGACGAGGACAATTGACGAGGCCATTCAAGGATGGACGTCACATGCCTACTACAGTACTTTCAAGCGTGTCCCAGCTCGTCACCCTCGCGACCAATGCGTTCCAATCCGTGCAATCCCATTTAATTTGGATGTTTAAAACGTTGTTGTGGCATTTTTACCCGGCAGACAGGACGCCCCACTGCACACTGCAGCTCTGCAGGATCTGTACTAGTATCGACCCGAGATCCTGAAGTGGGGTGTCCGATCTGTTGGGTTCTCGGTGATAACTTTCATCGTACATGACCTCTCTACAGCTGATGCCATTTCAAGGGCCTCTTGCCTCGTGTCTGGGTGCGTCTCGTCCTTGTGCTTGGTCGGGCACGAGGCAGTTCAAAACGTCAGCACCCGCCCGCAAGCTCGACGTTGCTGTTGTTGTTGAAATGATCTATTACGTGCAATTGGAAGGATATGATGGACTTCCCATTGCGCTCATGAGGTACTGGTAGCCGGTGCATCAAGCGAAGGGGTGTGACGCGAGGTTGTGCGTGGAACTAAAGGTAACGTTAGCGCGCACACCAAGGGTGGCCTCGGAGAGCGTGTGATAGTAGCAGCCTTGATCGCAGCGGAAAGTCTCGCCGTGCGAAAGACGAGGTTGTTGCGTTCGAGCCAACGACGTTAGCGCGTCAGATTGACCCGAGGGTATGAATGGACGTCTTGTGATCCGAGTTCGGCGCGGCGACGCACGCTGTCGTTGAACTTGTCGTAGTTGTTGACGTGCATCGATTCGATCTGCACCGAGCTGCTTTGGCCTTTCGACGCAAATTTCGACTTTGCCGCTCACTTTGCCGTTGAGGGATACAAAGGTTTAGCGCTAAGCAACCATCGCGTGAAGGAGACGCGTCGCTGCCGTGCCGAAGACGTGGCGTGGGCAAGAACGCGGCGCAACGAGCGGCCGCCTATGCGCTCCAGACGCTCCATCTCAACTATTGATAAGCTGGTGTATCGAAGCGGTCACAGCGACAGCGCGTCGTTGATACCGTTGGACGGCCATTCAAATGGTGCGTGGACAGCGTCGTGTTAGCATCCGCTCTAGTACATCGACGAGCGGTAGTAGGCCCGACCGCGTTGTCAACGTCGCTGCGAGGCAAACGGCAGCCGTACGTCTCGAGCGCACCGCAGAGAAGGCAGACTTGGATTTGCTAGTCAGAACTTATAGCCCGGTGCGGACTCGGCGGCTTCCAGCTCGTCGCGGCAGCGCGAGGGTGCTGGCGACCACCTTGGCATGCACGGGGTTGAGGCTTGGGGCAATCGCACTTTGCACCATCCACACCGCTCTTTGTACGTATCTTGCGTTCATTAAACAATTAAAAGCGTACTTAATAGGCGCAAAGAACTTCCCCGAATCGGCGGCAAATCATTTCAGATTGAACGGTCGACGACGAAGCGAGACGATGATGATGCGTGCAGTGCAGCGGGTGCTTCGGCCAGCGTCGGCGCGTGGTCTTAGCACGACGGCGGAAGAGAAGATGGCGACGTCCTTGCGCCAGGCGCTGAGCGCGACGCACGTCAAGGTCGACGACATCTCGGGCGGCTGTGGCTCCATGTACAAGATCGAGGTCGCGTCGCCGACGTTCGAGGGCAAGAACCGCGTCGCGCAGCACCGCCTCGTGAACGAAGTGCTTAAGGAAGAGATCGGTGGCATGCACGGCCTGACGCTCAAGACGTACACGCCGGCCCAGTTTGAGCAGCTCCCCAAGTAGAGTTACATGTCTAGAGCCGCTTGTCGTGAAGCAACATATAACATCTGCGTGTTGATATGGTCGTCTTAACTAGGTCTACGACGACGCCCACTTGGCAATACCCGCGTTGTTGATGACGCAGATGTGGTCCAAGTCCCGGAAGATCTCGTTGTAGTCGAGGCAGCAGCCAATGACAAACTTGTCCGGGATCGAAAAGCCCACAAAGTCGGCGAGGAAGCCGCACGACTCAGGGTTGCGCTTCTCCAAGAGGCTCGAGACCTTGATCGAGGCCGGCTCCGCCGCCGAGAGGTACGGCACGAGCTTGGCCATGGTCTTGCCCGTGTCAATGATGTCTTCGACAAGCAGCAAGTGCTTGCCCTTGAACTTGGCAATGTCAGCGCCGCTCACTTGGACGTTGCCCGTCGACTGGAGACCGTCGTACGACTTGACTTTGATAAAGTCAAACGTGAACGGGACGTAGTCGCACGTGTTGTACTTGTGGAACAAGCGCAGCTTCTCGATGAGCGCGTGGAAGAAGGCGGCGCCGCCCTTGAGCACGCAGAGGAGGTGGATCGTCTGGCCCTGATACGCATGGCGAATGTCCTGCGCGAGCTTCTCGATGCGGTCGTTGATCAAGCCCTGCGGGATCAAGACGCTGTCCACGTACGGCTACATGGAGGCCATGTCAACCTCGCCATTCCCATGCGCATGCGTCGTACCAGGTAGTGGGCGGGCACGAGGAAGTGTTCCTTGGGGTACGAAGCGTTGTCGTCGAGGTAGATGGGCTCTTGTCTCTACGTCCAGCGTCAGCGCCTCCGTCGCATCCCGCAGCTCGCCTACCACCATGGTGCAAAAAAGATTATGAAACATTTCGAGTGGCCGCTTGCCGTATCCGGATAAGACCGCCAATCTTTCCGGATAATCCACGCGGTGTCTTTTATTCGTTCCGAAATGTTCTTTTACTCCGCCTTCGACCGTGAGGGAGTGTCAGCAAGAAAGCACGCGCGCCCGCCGGAAGACTCGAGCCAAGCCATGACGTCCTTCCTGCGGCGATCGAGACGACGATCGAGGTGGCAATGGAGATGGCAATGGAGATGGCAATGGAGATGGCGTGTCTCTGCGTTCGATGCTGATCCTCCTCCCCATCCTGTACTACTGCAACCGTCTGCGCTTGTCCATCCTAGGTGAGGATGACGCATGCAAGCAGTCGAACGACTGGCCGCGTCGGCCATGCCACATCGCACTGGTATCGAAATGCACAAGGTCCATTCAAAATGCATCATAGGAGGACCTACGACGTGCGCATCGTGCGCCGGCAGCGGTACGAGCAGTAGCCAAAGCCAAAGAAGATGAGGAACATGACGAGGCCAAAGACGACCCAGCCGTACGGCGACGGCAGCATGTTGAGGAGCGTCTAATGCAGTTCATGAGACCTCAATGCACAAGCATCCAGCTGCATACGAGGAGGACGTTGACCATGGGACCAGCAAAGACGAGGAACGCGACCACGAGCGCGCAAATGACAAAGCTCGAGCAGGCCGCGTACGCCTTCGGGCCCATGAGCGACTCGAGCAAGTGCAGCGGGTTGAAGAGCGCACTAGACACAAGCATCGTACATCAGGAGTCGGTGGAATAATCATGGCGACGACAGACTTGAGATGCAAGCGGTCCGCGGGCTCGGCGAGCGTCGGGAAGCTGTTGGGCTCGCTGCGCCCAAGGCCGGCGGCGCGTAGGTCGGCCACGTGCTTGGGATGATCTCGATCGCGAGGAGGAGCTTCCCGGCCTCGACGCGGTCGCCCGTGTGTGGGTCCCGCGTCGTGCACGTGAGCCAGCTCGCGTCGTCGGGGTCCTCGCCCATGCCAAGGCGCGTCTTGAGCGCCTTGACCATCATCTCGACGCCTTCCTTCTTGTCGTCCTTTCTCCCGCGCTTCGAGTCGGCCTTGGAGAGCGGTGGCGGCGGCAAGAGGGCCTCGCCTTCACCGCGTTCGAGGTCGTCGAGATCTACGAAAAGGATGCCGATGAGCTTGCAATGATGCGACTCGAAAGCGCACCGGTTGCGACCGTGCCCGTGGGACTCGCGACGCGGACGTTGGTCGGGCTCTTGATCGGGCGCGGGTTGGACTTGATCGGCTTGGGCTTGGCGTACACGTTGACAATCTCCTTGGTCTTGTACGCCTTCTTGAGGTGCTCCGAGAGGTTGACAATCGTGTCCGAGAGGCAGTCGTCGTACAAGACGTCCTTGTCCCACATCTGGAGATGCAAGTGGCCCTTCTCGAGCTCGTTGGTCGGGTCAATCGGCAGCGCAATGTCAAACTTCATGCGCCAGTTGAAGCTCGCCTTGCCGTCCTTGGCGCGCCAATGGATGTCGGTCTTTTGCGCCTTGTTGTCGTACGACTGGAGCCACGCCTTGACAAAGAGGTCGCTCAAGCCCGAAAAGTCGTCGCCCGGTGTCACGTCTTTGCCTTGTAGATGACGACGCGGACCTCAAAGTGCTCGATGGGCGGCAACTTGATGTCGACGGGCCGCGACAAGGTCGCTTGCGCCGGCGTCAGAATGTCCATCCAGAGCCGCACCGAGCCCTGCGCGCAGACACTGGACGGCGCGTAGAGCTGGCGCGTCTCGATCGGCTTGAACGTCCCCTCGGCCGTGTTGCCCAGCGTTTGCCACCGGTCGTCAAACCAGCGGTCTTCGAGGTCAATGCACGTGGCACCGATAAAGTCGTCGCCGCCGACCGAGAAGAGGTCGTAGTCCCAGCACTCGAGCGACAGCGTCGAGGCACCGGGGAGGTTGACTTTGAACTCGTACACCGAGTGGAACTTGGGCTCGAGCGTCCCGTTGTGGTGGTGCGTTCGGTCGTTGACGATCTCTTTCGAGCCGACCTTGAGCCGCAAATACGGGTCCGACTTGCCGTTCGGGTCCTTGGGCTGGAGCGCAAACGCGTCGAGGACGTAGACGCGCACCACGTACGGCTGCGGGTTGAGGAGCGCTTCGAGGTCGAAGAGCGGCGCGTCCGACCGGCTGTTGAGGATGCGGATGAGACCCTTGAACTTGCCGACCGCGCGGTACGTGCTCTTGGCGACGCCAAACTTTTGGCCGCGGTAGACATTGTAGACCTCGAACGGCGTCGTCTCCAGCGTCGCCTCGATCGTGCTGGCCATGAGCTCGCGGTGCTTGAGGTACGCCGGCGTGTCTTCGTCGTCTTCGTCCATACCGTCCATCGCCGGCATGATGGCTCCGACGCCGGCACCCGACGAGCTGCCTTCCGGCGTCCGCGGCACGATTTCGCCGTCAACGTGCGGGTTGCCGACCACATGGTGCGTGGACGCACCGGGCGCCACGTACGCTTCGTTGGGGCGGCCATTGGAGAACGGGAGCTTGGTCGCGAGGTCGATGGACGCTGTGCCGAGCAGCGGCTTGACAAAACCACCGAGCAGCGTGTCGTAGACGCTCAGGTTCAAGCGCGGCGCGTACCGCGCGTCTTCGGGCACCGAAATCGGAATCACGATGCGCTCGAGGTAGTTGGGGTCGTGCGGCGACGGCTTGGCGCTCGGCGCCGTGAGCTTTGGGCGGTTCGTCGACGTGACCTCGCCAATCTCAAACTGCAGGTACGGCATGTGCAGCGGCGTAAAGCCCGCGGGCGTGAGCTGGCGCATGCCGACGCAAATGATTTCGAGGAACTTTTCCTGCATCTTGGGACGAATCGACGCGGGTGGCGCGATCACTTGGTCGGGCATGTCCTTGACGACGAGCATGCACGAGATAAGGAGGGCGCCGTCGACGTCGCCCGCCGTTTGGAGCCCGAGCGGGTACCACTCGGGCACGGGCACGGTGTAGCCAGCCTCATAGTCGCTCGCTTCGATGACGCTCACATCTACCACGTCGGATGAGACATCGGTAGTACGTCCGTGGCGGCAACGCACCTTGGAGCGGGATCGAGACACCGCCGACAAAGTCATCGGGGTCCCAACGATCCCAGTCGTACACCTGGAAGGCAATGCGCGGCTGGTGGTCGCGGTCCTGTACTCGCAGATGAGGAAACTTGTGTTGCCAGTCAATGTGACATACCACGGGCACGTTGACGTCAAACACCATGGTCTCGTAAAACACAGGATCGCGCGTCCGGTTCTTGCGCGAGCTCTTGTTGCCGATGCCGCTGCACGTGACCGCCACGTACGGGTCGAGGAGGCCGTTCGAGTCGGCGGACGGGAGCCCGCGACCTTGGAAGAGGTGCACGAGAAGCGTGTACGACGCCGACGGCATCTTGGCCGACACCACTTCCTTCCACGAGTCGGGCACGTCCTTGGACGTTGTTTCGGCGAGGCCAAGGCGCAAAAGAAGGTTGCCTGGGTGTTGGTAATCCTGGAGCTCGTTGAGGACTTGGTCTTCGATGAGGCTGATCCACTTGGCCTTGGGCACCGCGTCGTCGCTCGGGAGCAGCAGTTCGGCGGCCTTGAAGCGCGCGTAGCAAATGTTGCGCGCGTCCGCGCCTGTCGCACCAGCCACGAGGTACACAAACACGTCAGGGCACTGGCGCAAATCGGACGGGAGCTCGAGGCTCGGCGCCTGCATGAATTGGTTCCAGCTGCACATGCCCTTGACGTTGGCGACACGGTTGAACCACAGCGTCGTGCTACCGATCGCAATGCGGACGCTCATCTTGGAGAAGGAGCCCCAGTGCACCTTGCTCGTAAAGCCCGGGATCTCCGAACCGGACAGCAGCAACGCGCGGAGGCAGTACGTCTTGGTCGGCGGCAGCGGCATCTTGGTGAGGAGGTTGCGCGTGTGGGGCACGTCGAGCGTGTTCTTGACGTCCGACTCGACGCGGAACGAGAGCAAGAGGCGGCCGCGGAACGTCGACGCGGTCTCCGGGTGCTTGCCCATAAACTCTTTCGCGGTCGAGTTGAACTTGAGAAAGGTCGAATCTTCCGGCGTCCCGTACAAGTTGGTCCAAAGGTTCTGGAAGAGCCTAGTCCCATGCGTTCATAGTACACATGATGAAACGTGGGATTGCGTACGTCGGGTGGTCCTTGATCTGGTTAAAGTTGAACGGCGACGCATGCGCGACGAGCTCATCGGCGACACGGTCCCAGTCCCAGACGCTAATCGCAATGCGATTCGACATGCACGGCAAGAGCACGGGAAACCAAAGCTCCTACACAACGCAGAGTTGCGTGGATCGATCCAAACGCGTTGCGCACCTGCTGAAAGTCGACGTCCGAGCCGCGCGTCGTCACCTTGCGCGTCTCGACGGGCTTCTCGCCTGCAAAGGCCACGCGGACGTAGGCGTCGATACCGCCGCCCGACATGATTCCTGTGGCACATGGTATACTTCAAGATGCCACAGGCGATAGTGCAATCAATACAAGGCATACCTTTGTCCATGTTGGGAAGTCCTTCGGCACGGTGGACCGTCACCACGAGAAAGTGCAGCGTCTGCGACACGCGCGGCGGCATGATCACCATCTCCGAGTCGTCCTTGATCTCCTACGCACGCAAACATGTATGGGTGGTATCGGCTGCTAGAGCCGTCCGTACCTTGGGGTCGTGGATCGGGATCGTGTCGCCAGGGCCAAGCACGGCAATCGAGAGCCTATCCCGAATGGTATCATCAATATCAAGAATGTATCAAGTATTTGATGCACGTACAAGAGGTAGCCTTGGACGCCCTGCTCGCTGTCGCCAGCGCTCTTGACGAGTGCGACCCACTGACGGTACATCTCGTGGTTCTTCATGTAGTAAATGTACGGAATGTCGATGCGGAAGAAGCCAATCTTATCGGACGAGAACGGACCATCGGCGTCCTTGACGGTCACTTCGATCGACGCGCTCTCAATGTCGTCCTTGTCGACGTTCTTAAGGTTGAAAAAGAGAAGCGTGTCAAAGACGCACGAGAGCTGGTTGGGCTTGACGGCCGTGTGCTGCTCCTGGCCCATGCACTCGACAAACACGACCGGGTCCGCCGACCCATTCGCATCCTGCGGCACCAAGTCGCGCACTTCGATGATGCGCACCTGATTTCAAAAACAACGAAATACGCGTCCAGATCAGATGTGGTCGCCGTACCTGGATCTGATAGTCGCCCGACTTGAAGTGGATTTTCTGGAGCTCTTCCAGCATCTTTTTCTCTTCTTCGTCGCGCTTGGCCCGCTCTTCGGCCGACTCGCGCTCGGCAAGCTTGGCGTCCTCTTCGTTGGACGCGCCGCTCTCTTCGTCGTCTTCGGCCGACGCATAGACGTCCGTGTCGGCCTCGCCCTGCACGAGCGTCGCGTAGTCGCACTCGAGCGTGCACGCCTCGATCGCGAGGTGGACCTTGCCAAAGCCGTAGTCGAGCGGGTCTTCCTCGTCGAGGCTCGCGCGCACCGGGTTCTTGGTGTCGGGCCCGAGGCCAAACCACATGTCCTTCTTCACACTGCCGTGCTTTTGGATCCACTCACGCACGTCGATGGCGAGGAGACCCATAAAGTCGTTCGAGAGCACGTCTTCGTCTTCGACGCGCAGCGAGAAGACTGTGTTAGCGTACTTGGTCTTGGGGTCGAGCGGAAAGTAGAACTTTTCGCGCCATTTCGGCACGAGCGTCTTCTTCATGACCTTGGTCTTGAACGGCTTGGTTGCGCCAATGCGAAGGAGCACGAACGGGTCGCTCGTGCCCGCCTGCGCGTCGCCGTCGCACGCCTTGAGGCCCGCGCCCTCGAGGACGCTCACAGCAAGAAAGTTGTACGTCCAGGGCGCCGGCGCCGGCGCTGGGGATGCGCTCGTGGGCGGCGACGCCTCGCTGTCGCTCGACAACGGCGCAATCGGGAGCTCGCGCGTCGACGTCTCGGACCAAATGTTCTGGACGTCGGACGGAGGCGCACCTTCCGCGCCTTGCGTCGGGTCGTAGAAGATCTCGACCGAGATCTCGCCCGACGCCTCCCCCTTCATCGAGGCATGCTTCTCAAGAGGCAGCACCAGTTTGTTCTAGATGGAACGATTCGGATGAGGAACCATGCTTGGATACGATACTCGGTACCCATTCGTTGGGCGTGAGCGTCGGGACGTGGACTTCGGCGCCGCCGAGGTCGACGCTGGGCGTGAGCGTGTTGTAGTCCTTGACGCGGAACGAGATGCATGCGTCCTCGGCGAGGCAGACCGCTTCGCCGAACCGGAACTCCTCATGCCACGACGGGTTGATGGTCCCAGACTGGATCTTGGTCTTGCACGTCTCGGCGCCACACGTCAAGCGGACGTCTACCATGCGCATGAGCCTCATCTTCCTCCTCATCTTCCTCCTCCGCATGCGTACATGGGTCGCTCGACGCGGTGCCGATGAACTTCTTGTCGACCGCGAGGAGCTTCTTCCCCGAGACGACCTTGACGCGGAGCAGTGGCATCGTGGGCGCAACTTCGAAAATGTTGCGATCTGGCGCAGCCATTTGGAACGTCGCCGCTGATTGGCCAAAATGCTACAATCAGAGCAGCTTCAAGCCACTTTGCGATTGCGGGAGCCAATCAGCGCCGCGTGCTTTCATCCACAGTGATATCAGCTGCCGGGCGCGGGGGCATGCGAGGGTGACGGCGCCGCCTGCATGATCGCGACGACGCAGGCTCCAGGCGGAAGGAGCCACAGTTCATTTGCATCGGCCAATATTGGTGGTCGTCGTTCTCGCTGTATGGACGACGCTATTAGCTTCTTTGACAGAGCTGTCGTAGTGTAGTGTATGGACCGAGGAAGCTGCACCCATTTCTTGGCCGAGCCAACACGGATGGCGTCGCTGCACAGTACCAATGCATTATTCCCTTGACCGTACTAGCCGCAGTTATTGTGTACTAGGCTGGAGCGGTTGTTAGATGTCCGCCTGCTTTATGACGCGCGTGCATGCACAGAAGAGACCGGCTACGCTGCACGCACCCCTCTCCCGACGTCTCGATGCATTCGACAACCGCGCGTCTCTCCCGCCGGCTTCTTCTCGTCGTGATTGCGCTTGGCGACTCCGTCCTTATGCAATGGTACCTCCATCATCGGCTGCGGACGCGATCCCACCGGAGTCATGCTTCAAGTACGTACTATTTTCTTTTGAAAAGGAGACGTTTGGCATTTGCTACATCGATGTCGCCTCGACTCTGCTCACGACCCTCTCGGCCAGGTCGCGCAACGAGACGCTCGTTGTCTATACAGCAAGACGTGGCGCACGCCCGGTCATTCAAGGTCGCAATCGGTTCAAGTCGGCGCTGCCCGTCACCGAGCAGCAGTGAAAGGTGTCCTCGGCTCAAGACGACACGCAACCGCAGTGTTTAATGCGAGAAGACGTCGCGATGCATGCTATCTTCTTCTTCTTCTTGTTGACATACACTTAGAGCTCCATGATGGGAAATTCGTGCTGGAACGACATGACGTCCTTCATGTCGGTCATCTTGACCAGGTCGAAGCGCTCGAGACACGTAAACGCAATGCGGAGGTAGCTCCAAATGTGTTCGGCCTGGTTGTTTTGGTGCAGCGCCTGGAGGTAGCACTTGGCCGCCTCCTCGTACTGCCCCAAGTTGGCGTGGCTGATGCCGAGGTTGAGCCAGCCTCGAGCGTACTTGGGCTTGATCTCCAACGCGCTACACACACCATACAACACCCTTTACCATCAAGGGGCCATGTACCGGTGGTAGGTTGGGATCGCTTCACTCGACCGCGACGAGTTGGCAAGCGTCGCGCCGAGCTTGTTCCAGAGCGCGTACTCGTCGGGGCGCGCGCTGGCCGCCAACCGAAAGCAGCGAACGGCCGCGTCGTAGTCTTTGGAGACGTTGTAGAGCACGCCAAGGACAACCTACCCACGCGTGTGTTATTCGGTACACAAGACCTTGCCCGGTGTACCTGAACATCACTATCGAGCGGGTCGTGGCTCTGGGCTTGCAGCATGAGCTGCATCACTTGGTCCATGAGGCTGCCGTCGCCATACATGTCTTCGGATACGTGGACTTGAAGCCCATGGAATTTCGGGTTGTGCTGCACCCACGCCTGGAGCGTCTCGAGCGCACCGTGCGAGTTGAGCTCGTTGACGTTGCTGACACCAAGCGCGAGCAGCGCGTGGAGGTTGTACGGGTCTTCTTCGACCGCTCTAATGCGTCATTCGGTGAGCGAGTAGACAAGGTCGATGTGGCCTCACCGGTTGAGACACGTGATGGCCTTTTTGTCTTCATCGTTTTCAGCATGGCACTCGCCGAGCATGCGCCACGCTTCGCTGTGGTCGGGCGACTCTTGCAGCGACGCCTCAAAGGCCAGAATCGCGTCCTTGAGCTGTCCTTCCGCAAAGAAACGGCAGCCCTACCCCCAGGTCTACGCGACGGCCGTAGGATGCATCGGTATACATACCATTTCAAATGCATTGGCGTCGTGCTCGAACGGATTCTCTTCCTGAAAGTCGTACGTGTGATTGTGTTGCTGACTGGACCAGAGCGCCGTGTCGTCAAACGGGTCCTGCATTTGCGCCTCCTGCATGGCCTTGGCCCAGATTTCCTCCTACGCGGAGGTGTGTCAGCGTCGACAGAGGTAAAGAACGCGGGTGCTACGAGGGTATCGTTGCCGGCGGCGGCGTCGTGCCACACATCATCGAGCACTTCGGCGCCGGACACGGGCTCGAGCAAGTTGATGCCCTCGGTCACCGGCTCGGCCGTGTGGTGGATGACCGAGTTACTTGCTTCGTGGAGCTCGACGTCGCCCGTGCTCACTTGGTTCATAAACTTGAGGAACTCACTCTTCTCAAAGCGCGGGTCCTGCTGCAGAGCCTGCGCCATCTCGCTCGAGATGCGTTGGGCGTCACTCGACGCGTGCGTCACGGGGGCTGGCGCCGCGGTCGCCACCGGGGCTTGCGGCGCATAGGTCGGCGCCATCATGTGTGTCGTGTTCTACCACCCTGTATCGCAACGACTACGTGAAATAGAGAGTCGATGCTACCTGCATCATGTATGGGCGCGGCGCGTGCATCATCATCATGGGCGGTGGTGGCATCGCGTACATAGGGTGGTGCCCTGCCGAAGCTTGATGATGCATGCCGTGGTGACTTTGCGAAGCTTGTGGATGCACCGTGCCGGCGTCGGCGAATGCGCCTTCCATGTGCGCATGGCGCTGCATCGAGTCGTGCATGCGCTGTGGCGCCTGCTGCTGCTGCTGCCAGAGCGCGTCCATCTGCATCGGCGAGGGCTGGTGCATTGACGCGTCGTTGCGCATAGCCATTTGATGTTGGCGAAAGTGCGCTTCCTGGAGATGCTGCTGGTGCTGCGCGTCGTCCATGGCCTGCCGCAGATCATGCTCCATAAAATGGCCACCGTCCTGCGATGGGCCCATTGGCGCCGCACGGCCCAGCGGACCAGCACGCAGCATACCATCGAGCGCCTGCGTCATCGGGTTGCGCGCGGCCACGGTGCCATCGGCGGCGCAACCGCCTTGCACGAGCTTCCCGAGCATGTCCATCCTTCAGCCCTCTTCTTGGAAAATATTGCGCCCCATCGCGGTCGTCTGGTTGCACTAAAAACACACAACCCAAACGGGAGTCTGGTGCGCCGCCGACACGATGCTGGCCGTCTCACGGCTACAGCGCGTACACATAGAGGTCTTGTAGTGGTGGAACCCTATCGCAGTAGGCTTAGCGCCGGCGTTCTGTGATAGAGGTGCGTTGCAACGTCGCTCGCATAGCTTAAAAGTTGGGTGCGAATAGCCCATAGCTGGCGTTTATGTAATCCCTTGCATTTCAAGGTCGGCATATTAAAATACATTTGGTCTGTGTGCATCTTGAATATTGTATTCACTAGCTATAAAATAAACCAAACCAAATACGATCGTGCTTTGTTAATGTCCCCAGCCGTTACGAAGCCTCATTGCCGAAGGTAGAGGCCGATGGCATGCACGGCAAAGCGCCCGACCGACGCCAGGGCGACGTCGTCCTTGTCGCTGTACACAGGCTGCATGGCCGTCACAGGTACCTAAGCCATGTCATGGCGCTCGCCAAGTCGATGGAGGAACGTACCTCAGCGACCGTACAGTGCATCGATTGCGCGGCCACGGCGAACGCGAGACCAAGATGGCAAGCAGAGTCCGCTGTCCTTGTATCGCCAAGAGCATGCACGAGCTGAGCAAACACTTGGCGCTTGTAGAGCCTACGCCGTGTGTAAGTGGCCGTGGGCATCGTGGAGCTGCGTACCGATAGCTCGACGTGGGGTCCGACAGGCGCAGAGAGAACAAAAGATCCGCGAGAACGGTCTTCACACAGCACTGCAGACGCTGCCCAAAGCTCCAGCCACAGACCTACTCGTCGTACGTGAGACCAACGGGGATACAGAGGAGCCCACTCCGTTGTGGTCGTCGCCAAAGCGCGAGCTTGCGACAATATCAGCTTGTGTGGCTTCCTGCTGCCTACGCACATCCAACAGATCCATGTACATCGCGCGATGCGAGCGTACGCAACCAAGTGAGGAATGTACTTGGGCTACAAAGCAAAGCCATGAGGATGCATCGAGAAGCCATGTGGCGCACGTGCTGTGTGAAGTTGGCCGGCAGCACAACGATATAATCGCCCGTGGCCTTGAGCAGCCCATCGACAAGCGCCGAGAAGAGCCCGAGGCGGCCTTTCCGTGCCACGATAACGAGCCGGCTGCTACCGTAGATGCCCTGCAGCTTCTGCGCCACCTGGAGCGACCCGTCGTCGCTGTTGTCTTCCACGATCACGAGCTCGTAGTCGACAAGCCTGCCACGCATGAGGTTCACCTTCACAGACGACGACGATACCATACCTCTCGGTGCAGGCCTCGTGGATGTGCCAGACCACGAGCGGCAGCGTCTCTTGCTCGTTCCACGTCGGCAAGAGGATCGAGACCACATTGCGCTTCTGCACCATGCTGCTGTGCCACGCGTTATAACATGTTGACCAACACAATTGCCAGATATATGTTATAACACGCACTCCTCGACTCGGTTTCGCGCCAGGCGGCGGCAGCAGCAGTTACGATGCCCTTCTTCCGCTTCCGGCGGAAGAAGCCTGTGGAGGCGCCGATGGAGCCGACGCTCGAGGTACAGGAGCTCATCGCCATCGAGGCCGAGACGTCGACGCTCCTCCAAGCGGTGGCGACACCGTCGCCGACCAAGAAGCGTCCGCGAAAGGTCGTTGGCCGCGTGACCATCGAGGTCTTGGACAGCGTACCGCCGACGCCCTCGAGCGACGAGCCCGCCGACATACCAGTGGCCGACGCTGCGCCAGCAATCGCGCCGGCGCTGCCACCCATGAACGACGACGCACTGCAGTTTACCGATGAAGAAGCCCGCGTGCGCCGCCGCCTCGACACATTCGTGCCTGCGTTCGTACCGGCCAAGGACGCGGTCGAGAACCAGCTCGCGCAGTTGCAGCACGAGAAGGATCGGCTTCAGAAACGGATGTCGCCCGTGCATCCTCGCGCCCCCGAGATGGAGTTTGATATCGTACGTTCTGGTTTGGAGGAATAGGAGCCTCGTCCTCCTCTTTCAGCCACTCACAACACCACGTAGCTCCTTCCGCCGAGCGAGAAGGATGCAACGGATGCTGCAGCCACACAAGTACGCTTGTGGACACAAATGGTCCTATGGAAGCAGACTCGATGGTAGATCCAGGCAGTGGCGAGGGGGTTCGTCGCGCGACGTGCCACCCGGCGAACCTGCGCGCTCCAGGCAACGTCGGTCTTGTCGACACGAGCTCTCAACGAACGCATCGTAGGAAGCCGCCAAGTGGCGGCAAGTGCACGATCCAGAGCGCGGCGAGACGTGGTACTACAACAGCGCCACGGGGCAGAGTCAGTGGGCACCGCCGACGGCGGCACTCAGTCCTCCTCGCCCGACCAGTCCGCAGCAGCGCCCGTCGTCGGGACATCGCACGACGCTGCCGCCGCTCTCTCCTCGCCAAAGCAATCTCTCGATAGCAACGCATCCCGTCTCGCCGCTGGTCTCGTCGCCCGTGCTTCCATCGCTCGGGAGGGAGCCGTTTGTGCTGCAAGACGTGGATCCCAACGGCGACTGCGCGAGCGATGCCAGCTTCGCCGACGCCACTGCCGACTGGATGGACAACGACGCGCTCTTCCTCGCCGACGGCTCCAAGAACGCCAAGCTCCGAGACACGATCCGCGGCGCGCTCAAAGTGTCGCGCTTCGACTCGGTCTCGGCGCTCTTGACGCACAACGTGACGTTCAACGCGCCCAAGCCCAAGGCGCGCGGCCACCGAGAAATTGCGCTAGGGCGAAAACCCGAGCAATTTATGGTGGCCGTCGTCGCCAAGAAGCCAAGCGCCAAGAGCAAGAAGGCACCGGCGCGGCTTCCAACCCCGGTGCGCATCCGCGACGTCGCCGACCCGGGGTTCCTCGAGGCATCCCAGAGCAACAACAACAACGAGACGATCGCGAGCGACGATGCGCCCAAGCCCACGCAGTGCTTTGCGTGCTGGAGTGCCATCAAAGGGTGCAAGTGCGAAGCCCACACGGTCGGGCCCGCGCGCATCAAGCATGCGTCCGAGAGCGCGCTCCTCTGTTCCAACTGGGAGGTCGACCAGCTTCGGCGCAAGTACCGGGCCGAAGAGATCCAAGAAGTGTTTCTGAAAGCCAACAGCTCGCTGCGCTACGACAAGGTGCGTAAATCGTATGTGACCGTCATCGAGTGCCGCCATCCGATCTACCGCGCGATCGACGCGGCCACCACGACCTTGAACAAGACCATGCGCCGCAAGCTCCACGTCCGCGCGTGGTTTCGGTCTTTCCTCGAGCACCTCCGGCTCGGGCGCGTCAAGAAGGCGGGGGACGCGCCGTCGATACTCAAGGTCCGAGAGACGCTGCGCAACGCCAAGTGGTGTACTGACTACGCGTCAAGTGTCCGGAGCTTCCAGCCGATGCCGCCCGTGACCAAGCAGCGGTTCACCGACGCGCCGATCGACGGTGTCATTGTCGTACCGCCGAATACACCGGCGCTCAAGCACTGGGTCCTCAAGACGGAGGTCCCTCGACCCATCGTGCTCTACCAGCCACGGAAATACGAGCTCTTGCCGCGGCGCTGCATTCCAATGCCCACGCCATCCTTCTTGGACCAGATCCCATTGCCGGTGAGCAACACGTACATTGACGGACTCTCTAAAGTGAGCTGGCTCGAGCGCGTGAGTGCGCGCATCTCACTCGCAGCCATGTACCGCGGCATCATGCAAGTGAAAGCGTGCACGCCACCGAGAGGCTTTGACCTGCCGCGGCGCACGCGGATTACGCCACCCACGACCGTGCTCTTTGCCTCGTTTGGGCGCAAGCCGACGCCTGGCAACTTGGCGGTCGGTGGGTTGGTGGCCGAGATGCTCATCTACATGGTTGTCACGACTTTTGTGCCGCCCCAGTTTGGCAACTTCAACGTGACGGACCGCCGGGCCATTTGCCCGCCGCTGACGCTCGACCACAGCGCGATGTATGCGTGCTTGGTCATTGCCCCAAGACGTGGCACTATGTGGTGCGGCCGCTCGAGCACCCGCTCAATAGCCGCCGGCCACCAACGATTCTCTTGGTGATCCAAGGCGAAGGCCACGCCATGTGCATCAACCGGCCCGAGCAAACCGGCGAGGACGCGTGCTACGGCTTCATCACGATGCTCGAGAGGCCGGGGCTCAAGATGCCCGACGAGACAAAGCCGGCGGCCTTCTTGCCCCATGAGACGGTCCTGACGTTCAACGTGCCGACAGCGAATGCGACAGTGACGACACGCGCAGACCGGTGCGCCAACTCCGTCCCAGGGTGTATTAGGATATTTGGGGTGTTTTTGTAGCTACTATCCGTTTTGTGAGCCAACAACGCGCGAAAGCACCATTATTGCGTTCATGCACCTCCTCTGGCTCGGCAAGTCGAGCCGCAACCAGACACAGGTACCGCCGTTGCTTCCGCTCTCGTATCCACGGATGGGGTGCTAGTGCTTTACGACCCTCGGGTCGCAAGATCCGGGTGACTTTATGAAAAACTGCAATGTCGACGGCGCCATGGGGGCCTACACCCCGATGGTCTATCGCAGTTGGGCGTACATGCAGACGAGTCCATTCGAAGAGTTTGTGACCGATGACGGCATTGCCTACTGGTAGCGTCGATCCAAGTATCCAACCTATCCAACGCATCCAAATAGGTATGAAAAGGCGACTGGTCGCACGTACTGGACGCGCCCCGTGCTCGAGATTGAGAAGCACCGAGGACCCGACGGCGACATTGAAGGCGATGTGCAGGACGGGGTCGGCGAGAAAGCGACGACCGGCGTCGGTGGCGCGGACGCCCGCTACACCCAAAAAGAAATGCGCTCGTACATGACCAAGACGATGGAGAGCGTTGAAGACCGCGCGACGCGATTAAAAGCGGTTGACCGCAGCGCGAAGACCACCTCGATCATCAAGCCTTCGTTTCACGAAGAAGCAGAGGCCTTGGCAACACGCCCGTCCCGCCCATCGCCAACCAAAGTGGCCGTGCCAAAGCTGTCCTTCCAGATTGAAAGGCCTGTGGTCAGCCACAGCAAGGGCCCAACGCCGACCACCAAGCCGACGCCCCAGTTGAAGAGCTCATCAAAACCGGCGACCAGTAAGCGACTCGTGGCGCCGAATACGCAAAAGCTCATCGAGTCGCTGACATCGGCGCTCGGCGCGTCCATGGCAACGTCGAGCATGAGCCCGAACGACGTCTTGCAGCTCGGCATCGGGTTGGGCATGGGTCTCGGGCTTCGGGATCCCGAGGTGCTGCTGGAGGACGATGTGGCGAGCCATGAAGCCATCTCGGATCGCCATGACGACGAAGCGGCCGCGACAGACGAAGAGGTACCAACGGCGCGCTCGCTCGCGACAACACGTACGGAAATGAGTGTCCTCCCCGATGCGACGCCCGACGAGATCGACGTCGCTGTCACCAAGGCACCGATTCCATTTGGGACCACGTTCCTGACGCATGCGACGCCAGGCGAAGGCGAGTCGTGGGTCAACAAGCCTCTCGACTTTAGCGCCGAGAGTCAAACAGCCGTCGACGGCTTCCACGGCGCCGTGCATCGCAGTGTGGCCAAGCTGCCCAAGAACTTTGTCGCGTGTGCCAACTCGACAAAGACGGTCAAGGCCGAGACCAACTACCTCCCCGCCAGCATCAACAAGGTAGGATGCGCGTTCAAAGAGCTCGTGCAAGATAGTGTGCTGTAGAACCAGCCACGTTGCGTGGGCCTTGTTCGGCCTCGGACCGCCGCCGACGAGTGGCTCGTCGTTGGTTACGATCCCTGGTGCTCTATCCAGTGATGTCTATCTCAGCAATGCCAACCGTCGTCGTCGTGGGTAGGGTGGCAGGGAAGGAGCTCTTCAACCTCGAATTCGTCAAGGCACTGGCGATCGAGGACGAAGACGCACCGGCGGCACCGCTCGTCGCCGCCGCGTTCATCGACAAAGAGAGTCATGCAGCGCAACAAGAGTTCGTGTCGCAGGCGGCGAAGGAAGCCATGGAGCTCGAGCACGTTATGAGTTTGGCGCGCCACGGCAAGTACGCCGAAGTGGAAAACGTACGTTTGGAAATACGGTGCTGGTGGACTCAGTACCGTCATTTGTAGCTGCTCAACCAGCCCGACTGGTCGCTCTCGATCGACATGAAAGACAATGCGGGCAACACGCTGCTCTCGATCGCGTGTCAAAACAACAACAAGCGCATCGCAAAGCTCTGCTTGCGGAAAGGCGCCGACCTCAACACCCAAAACGTACGACCTGGATTGGATTATCCAAGAAGCTAACGTAGCGTGGATAGCTCAACGGGCAATCGCTATTGCACTACTGCCATGCGTACGGCTTCCACGACCTCATGGAGTACCTCATGGAGAAGGGCGCCCGCGACGACCTTGTCAACAAGGACGGCCTCACGTGCTACGAAGGGCTCGACGCAGACACTGTCGAGAAACTCTAAAAGACTCTTTAAACAAGCCTTCTGAGGTCTTTAAAGTTTGAAAAAAAGTCGACCGACTGACAAGTCCAGCCAACATCACAACTCTTTCACGCAGGTCGTTTGAAGCGCTGGTTCGTACGCACACGCAACTAGCGCTTCCGAGTGCCAATGCATGTCCAGCATATGCTCACGTCATGGGAGTGTGGTGACCGTTAAAGTACGGAATCCAGCGTATGACTTCGAAGAGACGGTAAATGGCGTACAAATACGGTAATTGGATGTACTTGGTCCAGTCCTCAATCGGCCTATGCTGCAAACCCAGAGGAGTTGCAATACTAGTCATTGCAGTTCTCTTCGTGTTACGGAGTCCTACCAAAGGGAGGTCTACTGTATGAAATTGCACCTTTCTTCGATGAGCCAAGTCGCTCGTGATATTCAAAAGATGGTATTCGAGTGACCTTGCATGGCAACGGTGCTACTCGACACACGGAAGAGCGCGCAAGAGGTGGACTTGACCAGAGACCCTCTCAATGGGTGCGGTGCTATCCAGCACGAGAAGCCGCCACGTTTTGATATCAAACACGTAAATACGGTGCTTGTACGGGAGCACGAGTAGCCCCGTGAGCGCTGCTGACGCAAAGTCCACGTAGCGCACGCCCCCGGCCACCCACCCGTCTGTTGCAAAGAGGCACTCGGCGCCGCAAGAGAGCATGTACGACGGCCGAAATCTGGGTGGAGACATCGCATAGCGCAAGCGGTTGTGGAGGTAGAGAAGGAACGGCGCTAGAAGCGCAATCAGCGCCAAGCTTAGAAGACGTGAGCGGCTGCCAATGGTCACGACACCGCTTGCACACGTGAGCTGCAAGTCGGTCGTTACCACGGTGCAGCGACGGTCAATGGAGGCGTGGTGCGTGACAGGGCTAAAGACACTTAAGAGTGCAGCGAGGGCCCACACTGCGATAGCAGCTTTGCCGGCATACGACGCCGTGTACTCTCTCGTAAAGACCATGCAGATATCACAGGCAATGTACGCAAGCCAGCAGCCTTCGCCGGCGACGAGCACCTTGGTGACGATGGTAAGTGGCGTGACGTCCCTAGTCACGAGCCGAGAGACGGTCCCAATGCGCTGCAGCGAGAGGTCGGCGCTGCTCAAAATGCAAAGCGCGGTGACACTTCGAAGAAAGAGGAGTGGGCGACCGACCCAAACCATGCCACCGACGCGGTTGATCTTCCAGAGGTTGCGCCCGTCGCTCGTAAAGCCGTTAAGGACCGTGTAGACGGCAGCGAGCAGAGCCAGCAGCAGCAGCACGAGCGAAATGTATTGGCACAGCGCTCGAAAGTACACGGCCACATTCGATGGCAGCTCATAGGGGCTCGCAGCGGTCGTGGACACGGGCTTTGGTGACGAGAGGACGGTGACCGACGCGACGTCACCTTCGAAAGCAACGACTTCACGGACGCCGATCGCCCAATCGTACGCAAATGTCCAGGAGGTAAATTGCATCGTTGGATCTTCGGGTGCAAACAGACGCTGATGGAAGAGCTTGGCGCCGGAAACGTCCTCGGTGAACTGAGTGATCGCCACCTGTAGCGCCGCTACATCCTCGGACACGCGTACGGCTTGCGCTTCCCATGATCGCAACTCTGCCCCTGTAAAGTAGGTGCTCACAAAGGCACTAACGCTAATGAGAGACGTGTGGCAACCAACCGGATTGATCGCTTCCGACAAACACGCCGTGCTGGCTGCGAAAGGCATGTGCTGGGCAAGGCTCGACGCGACCGCAGCGAAGATGAGCTGGCGCTTGAAGACGAAGCTCCATTCGTTGTAGCCTGTTCTGCACGCTGCATCCGCGCCAAAGAAGCTACCCATGCCTAATGAAAAGTTCATGGCCCGAGGCACCGCACCGCAGAGAAGACTGCCGCCGAGGCACGCGACCCGAGAGGGGTCCAGCGCCAGTGGCCGCGGCACGAGCACACCAAGAACACTCATGCGACTGTACGCTGCCTGCGCCGCGTCCCGGTTCTCGCCAGCGACCAAGGCAACGCTTAGGGCTTCAAGAACCGATTGTTGTAGACGCAAAAGCCGTGCTGGTGGCGAGACGTAGCGCAGATCCACGGATCCAAACGGCCCCAGGAATGTTTCCAAGGCGCCAAGCGCCGCATCGCGTGGCGACGAGAGTGTACTATTGACCACGTACATGGCCTCGGGCGTCGTATTGGCAAAGGCAAAATAAGAACTCGAACGAAGCAGAGATCGACCGGTGACACCCGAGCCGTTGGTGGCAATCGCCCAGAGATCACTCGCCAAGCCCCAGTACATCTTCATCGACGTCTCGGTAGCGATATGAAAGAGCCCTCTTGTCGCCTTGAGCGTGAGCGCATACGTCAGGCCAAAGGCATTTTCGATCGCGAAGGTGTCGACGAGCCCTATCTTTTTGTAGCTTTGCCACTGCACCGTGTACGTCAGTAGGCCTTTCGACTGCCAGTAGACAACTTCATCCAACTCCGAGTTGGCATTCGACTGAACCGTCGCTAGCCACGTACGTCCTGATATATCGTGCAGGAGGTCTGCGCCAAAGGCCATATCGAACGACGCGCCCCAGCAAGCTTCAAAGTCTGGCCACTTGAGATTTCTCAGCGGTGCCTCAAGATAAACTGCTGCGTTGGTCGTATAGAACATCTCGCAACGCGCTTGTCGCTTGATCGAGTTGGCCATGTCCCAGCGACGATCCAAGTCCAACCAGCAATACTGCGTGGTGATCCAAGGAATCAGACAAGGGTCGGTCTGCCGAAGCCCATGAATCGCCAGCGCCAAATCACTGGCGACCTCGAACTGTATCTTCTTGGCGTAGAGCAGCGAGTAGGCAACGACGGCCGATGCGTCGCCATAGTTGGTCGTGTCTCCGTACGCGTCATTGGCAAGCGAAGCGCTGAGTAGCGTCGGCGTCATGTAGAGGTACCGGTTGAACCAGTTGGCCACATATGTCTGTGCACCGGTGGTATTGAAGGTCGCCCAGTAAAAGTCGTTGGCCAAGCTCACGGTCGAGAGCTCGAGGTACGAGAGACTGCCGCCGACGGTCGCGACAAGGTACGTGAGCCCAACGCCAAGCGTCACACGCCGCTTGATCCGGTGCAGTCGACTGCTCGGTATCTCGACCAGCGTGTCTTGGATGACCTCTTCGCGGGGACCCCCTCCTTCTCAAACACGCGCCATAATTTCACATCAAAGAACCAGTGCGGCTGGAGTCGCAAGGACCCGCTGAGGAGCGCCACGACGCGGTGCATGGCCCACGCGTCAAGAGGGGCGTCAGCAAACGCCGCAAGACTCGCAGGCACAATGTACGACGCCATCGGAGGTGGCGGTGGAGGGTGGCGTCGTAGGGCCAGGCGTACGATTGCATACGCCACAAGCAGCGACGCGACTTGCAGAAGCGCGATGACCAGCGCGCGGGTGAGCGACCCAATATGGACCGTGCCAATCGAGCACGTGAGCAGCACATTGACATTCGTGCGCGTGCAGACCTGCGCGACGGACACCTTGGGGCTCACGGGCAGCGTCATTTCGAGGGAAACGATGGCGATCCAGCTGAGGAGGCTACTCAGCGGGGCATAGTATCTTGTAAAAGGTTCTGTCACGATGACACAAAGGTCCGTGGCGACGTACGTCAGCCACACGGCTTCGCCAGCAATCAGCAGCGTTGCCGGGACTGAGCGGGGCGATGCGCAAAATGTGGCGCGGCCTGGCGACGCGTCAAAGGCAATGGGGGCCGTGCTCAGCACCATGATCCCCGTGATGCTACGGACGAGGAGGAGTGGCCGCCCTAGCCAAACTGGGGCGGCAATCCGGTTGAAGCGCAAGATGGCCGAGTTCCTCCAGTGGCGCGCGCCCAGCAAGAGCAGCATAAGCGCAAGACCGGTCAATCCGATCGTGGTAATGACCGCGAGCTGCCAGAAGTACCGACTCGTGCTATAAGGGATCTCGCTACCGCTCAAGGCCAGCGGCAGCGGCGCGAGCGGCTCCGACATGAGCACAAACGTCGTGACGTCGCCTTGGAATGACACGACTTCGCGGTGCCCGATCGCCCACTCGTAGAGCATAATGTAGCCAAAAAACGTCCAGCCTTTCCCGAGAAGCGGTTGGCGCAAGGCAGTATGATTGTGGCTGGTGTTGAGAAGTGCAAACTGAATAACCTCGACACCGAGGTCCGCAATGGCTGCCTGAACAAGCGACATGTCGGGCGCCGACACATTGGCGTCCTGCACGAGATGGACCACGTGCGATAATAACTCACGACACGCAGGCGCCAGCGTGCGACAGGCGTCGCAGCCCACGCGCGGTGCGTCATCCACCGCCGTAGCAAACGCCGCGGCCATTGGCGAGACGACCACGGACGCCGGCGTCATGGCCGTGCACGTCGCGTCAAATGCAAACGACTTTTGAACAAAGGAGGCGCCGGGGGTGAGCGCGCAAAAGGGATTCCCGCCAAAGAAAATCGCGTCCTCATGGCGCCACGTCATTGGAATCGGGTCGAGCACTTGAGGTAGTAGCTGCGTAAACGCCGCAGCGTTGATGCGCATCGACACACTGGCTTCAAGTGCGCTGACGGCGTCGAGTAGCGAGGCGGGCGGTGGGACTAGGTACATGTCGGTCGACACAAAAGGGCCCACGGTGTCGTGGATGCAAATGCTGCTGCGTGTGAATGGGTACAGCGCTGCGAGCGCCTCCATGCTCGAGTGGTGGCCCATGAAATTCGCCGCACTCCGCACCAAGCTGCCGTTGACAACCGAGGCCGCCCAGAGATCGTCAAAGAAACCCCACTGCTGGTAGAACGAAGTCCACAACGAGCCTAAGACCATCCAGCTCGAGTCAATCGCGTCAAACACACAAGGTAGGGGCATAGTACCTCGATGGGTAAACGGTAAATTGTACGTTGTGAGCTCCTGAACCGTCCCAAGGGCGTTGATGAGCGAGATGGTTTCGCGCAAGCCGAACTGGACATCATTGCTCCACTGCAGCTGGTACCGCTGGATGCCGTGTGCGCGCCAGTAGCGTGCTTCGACCGAGACCGACTCGAACGCGTTCTGCACCGATTGCAGCCACTTGATACCGTCGTGAGACCGCTCTAGCTCGTCGGCAATCGCGAGTTGGAAGCTTGTCGCGAACACAACGATCCAGCTCTCCCACTCGACGTTGCGCAAGAGAGTCTCGAGGTACACGGCGCCATTGACCGCCAACGAGCCTTGATTGCACCGCGCTTGGCGTGCGGCCGTGTGCGCGAGCTCCCAGCGCCGATGCAAATCCACAAAGCAGTACTGCGACATCAAGTGCAAGCTGTACGCTGCATCAAGCGTCCGAAAGCCAAGAATCGCGTCTTCGATCGAGGTCAGTTGGGAGAGCGCGATCGCACGCGGCGTCGTCGAGAGCATCTCGCTCGCAGCGGACGGCGTGTTGTACGTCTTGAGTATCGGCGTTGCGTACAAGTCGAACGAGTCCGCGCGGCGCAGGCGGTGAAACAAGTCGACGAGCAAGAGCTGGCCGCCGACCGGATCAAAGTCGGGCCAGAAGAGGTCGTTGGTCAGACTCTCGGCGACGAGCACCAAGTACGCGACGCTGCAGCCGATGGTAAAGGCCAGGTACCCGCCGCCGATGTACCAGCGCATGTCGGTTGAAACGAACTTTATCAAGCGCCGTCGGTGCCGCAGTCGGTTCACGAAGATCTATAACTATCGGTGTCGACCACATCTCAGACTACCCTCTTGTTCCATAATATGTACTAGTAGTAGCTACGTGATATATGCCCGGAACAGCACTCGATCCGCACGTGGTCGAGTGTCCACAAGTTGCCAACTGCCGCGTGAGTCATTTTGTACCGCAAATGATCATCTGTTTTGTTTGCTCAACGCCGATCGGACCGGTCGCGCGACCGCGACTTGCGGCGGCTCTCGCGGGATCGGCTGCGACGAGATCGACGACGCTCTTCACTGCGCTTGCGATCATCGCGCCGGTCACTGCGATCGCGGCTGCGATGTCGGCGATCGTCGTCTCGGCGACGGCTCTCGGCTTTTCGGTCATCGCGATCATCCTTGATCTTTGGCTCGTCCCGCCGGTGGCTGTGTTGATGGTCGTCTCGACGGTGGGCCGGCTCGTCCAGAAGGTCATACTTGGCAAGTGGCTTGGCTCGAATACCAGACGACTCTGGTTTCGTGTCGTCCTTGGACTGCTTTTCGTTGCGGCGGAATTTGTTCCAGAGCTTGGAGACCGACTGGGAAAAGTCCACTTTGACGCGGCGGTCGTCAATGAGCACGTTGTTCATCTTGAAGCACGCTTCGATACAGTGCTCCTTGTCCGTGAACTCGACAAAGCCAAAGCAGAGACTGTCGCCGGTCTTGTAGTCGAGGATGATGTGGGCCGTGCACGGACCAAAGCGCGAAAAGATGAGTTCGAGGTCCTCGGCCGTCGTCACAGGGTTGAGCTTGCACAAGAAGAGGACCTCCTCGGGTGGCTTGACGTCTGCGTCCGGCAAGTCGCCAATGATCTCGAGGAACACGCTGCGCGACTTGGCCTCGCGATCCCGCTGCATGATCGCCACCTCTTCTTCCGTCTTGCCCTCGTACTCGTCGAGCTTGTCCAAAACGCTCAAGCGGACTTCGACCGACTCGGTCGGCGGGCGCTCGTGCGTCGGCGACGACGGCGGCTCGACGAGGCCCGGCGGATCCGGGAACGGGTCGTCGAGCACGAACGTGTGGAGGATGCGGCAGTCTTGGTACGGCCGGCCGTGGCTGTCGGCGTAGAGCTCGCTGATCGACTGGAGGATCTCGAGGCCCTCGACGACGTGGCCAAAGAGCGTGTTGGACGCAAACTGCGTGAGATCGTCGTCGCGCATGGTGACGAAGAACTGGCTCGTGTTCGAGTCCGGGCCCGTGTTGGCCATGCAGAGGCAGCCTTTCGTCAGCACCTGCTTCTTGAGGCCGAGCTCGTCGGGAAAGGCGCGCGGCTGGCGCGGGTCGAGCACGTGGAAGACCGAGTCGCCGCCCGAGCCCGTGCCCGTCGGGTCGCCTGTCTGCACAAGGAGGTTCTCCTGCACGTTGAAGAAGAGCACGTTGTTGTAGTACTTGAGCTTGCAGAGCTTGAGGAAGTTAAGGCATGTACGTGGCGCCTCCTTGACGCGCAGGTCCACGACGACCTCGCCCAGCGACGTCTGCAGGAGCACCGACATCGCTTCGTGACCGTCCACGTATTACCTGCGATAGGACGAGACAATTCGTGCCGTCTAAAAGCACACAACTAAGAATAGACGCGGTAATTCGTACCGGAGCAAGCAGTGGAGCAAGATTACGAGTTACGAGTGCGACGTTAGGAGGCGCGCGCTGCGCGGTGGCAAAGTAGTGGCTGTGCAGGAGGCGACTGCGGAGGCCGGTGGAAATACCCGAGGGCGCATAAGGCGTCCAGAGGCAATGCGGCCAGTCGCGGATGCAATCGGTATTCGTTGGACGTCTGTAGAGCAAGCGGTAGGGCTACATGCCACCTTACACCACTAGCAATGGCTGCAGACAGCGGTGCTCGCTGGGTCAGCATCTGCCACAAGACTTCGACTTCAATTGTGCTGCGCGCAGTCTCGAAGCAGTGACCAGCGTCCCATGACGAGGGCCCGAGGCGACCGTACGCATCCTTGAACGGCACGAGGCTGTCGATTTCGTTGACATCGACGAGGCGGGCGAGCCTCTCGTACCGTCGATCGCTCGGTACGACGGCAGCGGCTGCTTCCATGAGCTCGAGCTTCGTGACAATGGCGTCATAAGTCTCCATGCCACTGTGTCTCCGTGCGTTGCCTCGATGCGACGTGAAGGGAGTTGGTGGCTGCTGCCGGCGTCGGCAGCCGCGCTTCCACCAGCGGTTCCATGCAGTCCATCCAGAGGCGACGATTCCCGCGGTTGCGGTCCAGTATGAGCGGTGCATGCAGCTGGCCTCGTCACTGGCTTGGTCTCACGTCCTTTCTTTCGGCGATCGCAAATTCGAACCGCCACGCCGTTTCACCCAATAAATGCTCTTTCAGTATAGCATACAAAAACTTGGTATTGAAATGACCTCGCTTTAACGACATTGATATCCACTTGATGGCCAAGTCCAGGTATCCGATACTTCCGATGGATCGATCCAGGCAATCGAGCTACCGGGTGTTTTGTTGAGAGTTAGTAAGGTAGGCGTCGAGTCGCTAGACTTTTCGCACGGGCGAGACCACGCGGCGACCGTCGAGCCGCTGCCGCGCCACGGTGTCGGCTGTCCGGTCGACGTTGCGCAGATGCAGCGCTCGCTCCAAGAGTGTTTGGGCCGAGATGGGCGGCTCGCTCTGGAGAACCGTGAGGCACGAGCCAAAGTCGGCTTCATCGTGCAGGAGCACCGACCGATGCGAGATGATCATGGCCACGCAGACGTAATGGAGGAACGCGAAGCGCTTCTTGTCTGCGAGGAGAGCGTCCCATATCCGCAGCGTCGCGTCGATCGGGAACTCGCGCGAGAAGAGCGTGATGTACCAGCGAAAGCTGTAATACTCTGGCGTCAGCGCCACCGAGTTCTACATGCGACCGTGAGCGCCAAGCGCCGAACGGGTAGACGTACGAGGTGCTGCCACAAGCGAGCGTCGTGCTGCCGCAGAAGCGTGTTGAGACGTGTCATTTGCACCTGGACTCCTGTCTTGGTCGGCACCGACTTGGACGGCAAGTGCAGCGGCGCCAACGCTTGCATGAGCGTCTCAAAGACAGCAAAGGCATCGGCCTCGCCGTGCGCCTGCCACTCCATCGAAGCGTCGCCGTTGAAGACGTAGATGATGGGCGCGAGCACGTCGTGCATGCCTTGCATGTACCCGACCTCGGGGTGCGCGACAGCAAACACGTACAGAATACGCAGCATCCAGTCGATGCCACGCGCCGAGAGCTGCACATGCGTTCGTGCCACGTCCTATTACGAGCGCAAGAGATGTCAGCCGCGAGTGACATGGATGGACGATGGACCTTTTGGATGTCCTTGAAGAGCGCGTGGTCGGGTGGCGGCGGTAGGAACTGCTCCAGAAGGCCTTCGTACGCTTGTCGCTTGCCCGCTACGTCAGTCGACCACTGCGCAGGACGGTCCCCAAGCAAGCCAAGAAGCACACGCCACGCGACTGGCCGCATGCCCGGGTCGGCGTCGAGGCCCTGGAACACGAGCTCTTGGAGGCGCTCGACGCTGAAGACACGGGTCGTGTCGAGAAGCGCCCGGGTGCTGGTCCTGCCCGGGGCGTGCGAAGGCGGCTCGTCGGCGGGCGGTGGCAGGAAGCGCGACGGGTCGGTGCCCGCTAATGACGCACGCAGCATTGGCATGGTCGAAATCGATCTTTCAGAGGTTGTTGCAGTTTCGCAGGTTCACGGATGGTACGATTCAAACTCCATTTGAGAGGTTTTGAGAAGCCGCGACGCGTTGTATACAGAGCCACCACTGAATGGCACATGGATCGATGAGAACAAAGCGCATAACGCGTCCATGGCGAGCAGTGAGTCGCGTCCATGTGCCGAGCTCGCAGCAACGCCCGCACCCACCGTGTCTGTATTTATTTTGAAAGGTTTCAATGACAATCATTCCTACCAGATACAAAAGGATGGAGTACATGGGCTACAAGGGTACATCGAAAGCTCGTCGGAGCGCAGAGCCTCACGAGAGACCAGATTCTTGGTTTCTATGCGCGGCTTTGCATGGAGTGTTTTCCCATCTCGACAACATGGCCGTGAGTCTGTCTCTTCACAACACTGTCGTTCGCTGAAATATGCATTGTCAAAGGTTTGGATAAAGAATGCATGTCGTCACCATGTACAATGTGATGTGCACTTTCGATTTGCCATGGAGAGTGCGATGGCCGCCGTGCTGCGGTCGCCGGACCTTGTCATCCACATTGGTCGCTACCAGAACGGGACGCCAGCAGCGCTCCTCGTCGCCCTGCGCGCCTGGAACCGGTCGCGGCACATGGACCATGTGACCTTTCTGCGTCACTTGGCGCTGGACGAGCCCGGTCTGCCACTCTTGCGGCTCTTGTGGCGCCACGACCCGAGCGTCTTTACGCCACAGCTCATGGATGCGGCGGCCCGCATCGGCGCGCTAGCCGCCGTCCGCTTCTTCCACGACCACGGCATTGCGTGCACGGTGGAAGCAATGGACCAGGCAGCGTGCTGGGGGCACATGGAAGTCCTCCGCTTTCTCCACGAACACCGGCGCGAGGGCTGCACGACTGGCGCAATGGACTGGGCGTGCGCGTGGGGTCGCCTCGATGTGCTCGAGTTCCTCCAACACGAGCGAACCGAAGGCTGCACAACACGAGCGATGGACTGGGCGGCTGGCAAGGGCCACTTGGCCGTCGTCCAGTACCTTCACGCCCATCGGTCCGAAGGCTGCACGTACCGTGCGATGAATGCGGCGGCGGGCAATGGCCACATGGACGTCATTCGTTTCCTGCACGAGCACCGCGCCGAGGGCTGCACCGGCGACGCCATCGACCGCGCGGCGACCGCCGGTCATGAGGACATTGTACGCTTCCTCTGCGAACACCGATCCGAAGGTTTCACTCGGTTCGCCATCCCGCAGGCCGAAGCTTCGGGCTTCCATTCCATTGCCGACTACCTTCGCGCGCGGGCATAAGAACTTATGGTGTTGTCATGTGTACGAGAGACATGGGTAGAGAGACGATCGACTTATAAGAATTGTTTACGCCGAGCTCGGTGCAAAAAAGTTGTGTTCGACAATGTAGCGGAACGCCTGGAGCATGAGGCGCTGCTCCTTCTCCACGTCCTTCTCGAGGAGCTTGCTCAAGAGCGAGCTCTTGTGCTCCTTGACCTGCGTCGCCGCCGTCTTGGGTGCCTTGGCCGGCACAGGCTTGGGCTTGGCGCCGCCTTCGGCATGCAGAAACTTGCACTCGTCGCCACGCCGGCAAAAGCCCTTGGTCGCAAACGTCTTGCAGCTCACGCCCTAGTCGCACATTTCGGATGAGTGCACAATATCGTCATCAAGTGTACACTAATGTCGTGGTTGAACGCGCACTTGTCGCCGAGGTCGCACACGTTGCGGATGTACTTGACGCAAAACTTGGAGCTCTTCTTCGTACCATTATTGGGCGAGTCCTATACGAATACCAAGGATGAGCACGAGCGTATGCTGATGCTCCGTCGTCGCGTACCGTGCTCTTGGCTTTCTCGGTCGCGGGCTTGGCACGCTTGGCTGCGGGTGCGACCACATCGCCAGCTTGGACACGCTCCTCGTTGTCTTCAAGCTGCCGCCATCATGAGTTTTCGTAGAAATAAGAATCGTACCTTGCGCTTGACAACCGCGTCCGACGGCCACTTCTTTCGCCGCTCTTCGCGCCACTTGGCGATTTCTTCCGGCGAGTTGCCAACGAGCACGTTGAACTTTTGGCCCTCGACTTCGATTTCCTTCAAGCCCGAGCCCGCGAATTGGCCGTGGCTCGTCTGGTAGTGGGCCGTCACGACGCGCTTGCACGCGCTAAAGTCGCAGTCGGGCGCCCAGCAACTCTCGTGCGTGTTCATGTGCGCTTCGTGCTGGGATGCGAGCGCGAAGTGCTTCTCGCAAGGCTCGCAGTGAAATGGCATGTCCCCCGGCGCCCTACGGAATCCACTCAGTGAGTCGACCACAGACGACGCGGAACGCCATGACGTACGTGGGCAGCGCGGGCTTGGCTGTCCGCGGCGCCGCGTTCGAAGGTCCCGACTTCTTCATGCAGTCATGTATCCAATGGCCGCCCATGTTGCACTTGCGGCAGACGTAGCTCATGGGAGGGATCGACGGGCCCGGCCCCGGCGGCGCGTATCCCGGGGGATACATCCCGTTCGCTGGCGGAAGAGGCGGGTACATGCCGGGAGGACCGTGCGGGTGGTGGTGCGGAGGCATCTGGTGGTGGTACATCATCGGCGCGTTGGGCGGTGGCGGATGAGGGCCCCGCGGCGGACCGTGCATGTGGTAGCTCGGGTCAAAGTGCGGCGGTGGCGGCATATGCGGGGGCCCGTGGTGTGCCATGTGAGGGGGTGGGGGAGGGTAGTACGGGCCTGGCGCAGCACCAGCTCGGTGGTGCGGAGGTGGCGCATGACCGCCATGGTGGTGATGCGGCCCAGCGTGATGGTGCGGCGGCGCGTTCGCGTAGTGGGGCGGCGCGTGCATGTGATGGCGAGGCGGCTGGCCACCTGGAAACTGCGGCGGCGACGGCGCGACGTTGGGCGCATACGCTGGCGGTTGTGTTGGCTTTGTATATTGCGGTCGCGGCGCTTGGTTGACGCTGGATTGACGCGGTGGCGGAGGTTGGTTGAGACCCGTATAACCACTGCCGTAGCCAGATGCGTCCCGAGGGTTGTCGCGCAGATCGGGCTGGCCGTAGCCTTCGTCGCGTCGTCCATAGCCCTGGTCGCGCCCACTGTACCCGGCGTCGCGCGGGCCTGATGGAGCTCCGTACCCAGCGTCCCGTTGCGCGTTAGGGCCGCCATAACCCGCGTCCCGACCGCCGTAGCCCGCATCTCGAGACCCCGGAGCGCTATAGCCAGCATCTCGAGGGCTAGGACCACCGTAGCCAGCGTCACGGGTGCTGGGACCGCCGTAGCCTGCGTCGCGCGAGTTCATCGTCGGCGCCGGATCCAAAATGCTGGCAGGGTTTCCTTGCCTGCCACTTTGCACCAATCAAATCCAAAAACACGCCGCTCCAAGAACTTATTCCATCAGTCTCAAATATATCGAATTTCTCATTCTCGTCTCACTTACGGGAACGCCGGTGTGAGTGCAGTGCTGTAACGAGCTCAACTGTATTGCCACCGAGATTCATGGTGCATCGCAAAGCCAATGGCAGCACCTCTCGCTCTATCGTCGGCCACTTTGACACGACGAGCGATTGAGGAAGACGCGATAGTCTTTGGGCCGAGAATTGAGTCTGTATTGGTACAATACCATGGACCGCTGTTTGGCGTATTTTTATTCGTATTGTCATGTAGCTTGATGTTTGTATGGTTTGTTTTCGTTTTGCAATGTATTGCATACAGCGTCTGGTGTGGAATTCCAGAACAGTGTTCTTCAGACGCCCCACGCATTCTTGAGGAGTTGCTCAAACATGATGTCGTCGTCGACGGCGCGAGATACGTCCTTGTACACGTCGAGAAACTCGTTGCGGGTGATGACACCACGCGCGTCCTAATAGCATCACGTAGCTTAGTCGCTACCCGCTGCCGACGGCCCGCACCGTGGTCGTCCAGAGTGCCATGAAGTCCACCGACCGGGTGCTGCGGAACGCCGACTCGCAGCCCGTGTCGTAGGCCTTCGCGAGCGCAGAGAGCGTGACGGCGCCGCCGAGGCCACTGGAGACGGCGTCGTATGTCTGGTTGATCATACTCTTACGCGCATCGGAGAGCGGTCCGCGCACGAGCTCGATGAACCGCGTCACTTTAACAAACCCTCGCTTGCCCTAAACAAGATGAAGAGGCGCGAACCAATGCAACCACCGTACGTCGTCCAAAGCGTTGAGTAGCGTGTCGTATTGGTCGTCGCGGAGACCGAGACTGGCTTCGGTCTCGCAGGCCTTGATCGCCCACTTGAGGTCCTCGCGGTCCATGAGCCCCGACCCGCCGCTGGCATCGACATTCTGCAGCGACTGCATGAGCTGGCGCAAGCCAAACACGTGCTGCGTCGTTAGCGCCTGCACAAGGAGGTATGCGACGGACTCGGGTGTCGACGGCGCAGGCAGGCGGCGGTTGTCCGCGGCGGCCTGCGGTGAGGTGGCGAGACCAAGGCGCCACGCATTCTGCGAGAGCGAACTGCGCGCGTGCATGTCAGACGTCCGCGCGCCCGCCGCCTCATGCGCGAGGTTGAAGCTCTTGCCGTGGCCCTTCACGGTGAGGCAGCACACCTCGGTTTCCGTGCCAAAATCAGTCGCGACGCTGTTCTTGGCATCGGCAAAGAGGAGCTGCCCGGTCATCTTGTGCAGCAGTCCAATGCCGTCGTTGGTGCGAACGGGCGTCGATGCCGCGAGCAGCTTCTCGGCGCCGCCAACGTCCGCCCGTGTCGCGACCCAGAGTGTCGACGTGTCGGGTGTCACGGACAGCGTGACGTTCTGGTTGGACGAGACAGGGCTCATGCTGCGCTCGGTTTTGAGTGTGGATTTGAGAAAGAGCATGGGCAAGAGCGAGGCGCCGTCGACGCGCAACGCTTCGTTGGCCATGAGCCGAAACGGGTCGCCGTACCGCACAATGCCACTCTGCCCTGTCGGCGAGACGATGCAAAACGTGGTGCGCGCCGATGCGGCGCTCGGTGGACGCCCGACGCTCACGACAAACTCGCCGGACCCGGTAAACGTCTCCTCCCACACGTCGCAGGCAAGGACGCCACCAGTCTGGAGGTGCTCGAGCGTCACGTACATGTTGAAGCGCAAGACACCGTCGTCTGCGAACGAGTGAGGCACGCGGCCGTTCGCTTGCTCCATCTTTTGTCGGAAAGCGGTGCCCAGCCCGCCCTTTTGCTTCTGGGCGCGGTAGTCCTTCATGCGCGCCTCTTCCAGCATGAGATCTTCATTCCAGTTGCCAATGCGCGTCGTTGCGCTGTAGCGACCGGCACCCACGAGTTGCTGCGGCGTGAACTGCATGACCTTACGCGACGCTTCACCAATAACCACCGGCCGCGGCTGGTTTCTCGAAAACGCTGGATCCAGGATTTTCGCATTCGAAATCGAAAAGGACGATCTTGTTCGTTGCATTGCCGCGTGGCGTGGGTGGCCGTGCCCAGCTGCAGTGCCCCGTTCGTGACGGGCTGTGTGCTCGAATCTTCGCCGACAAAGTGGATTCTCGAAAGCACGTCGATCGGGTCAGACGAGCGCGGTGGCGCAGCTGGTGACGGTATCTACATCACCAGCCGAAATGCACCCGCCCATCCCGCTCATGTCCTTGTTCCTTGAGCCAGGTGCGTGTGCGTGCGACCGACGCTTGTCGTATACTGCCGGCCTCGCGTGCCTCCACGCCGCGCGAGGCCCGCGCCGTCAATCTCCCGCATCGTCCTCTCATGCGCCGCCCGTCACTACCAATCACGGCGTCCCACGTCGACGACTCCCTCGCGATGAGTCATTTGCCTCGCTATCCAACTCCGGCAACCACCAGCCTCGGCTTGCCCGCGCCGTAACACTGCAGCCGCCCTGTCCCGCCAACGACGAATTGGCGTCAAGCACCAGCATGAATCTGACACAATAGCCACGATGCTGCTGCATCATCCATGGACGGATCGCTGGCGCGGACGATCCTCCCAGTTTGCGGCTCCTTGGGCATGCGATGGCCGCACACTCCGCAAGCAGCAAGGACACCGGAACGCCAGCCGGCAGCCGCCGATCATCACTCGAGGCGGGGGGCCATGTCCCGCTGCGGTCGTGACGCAGCGCAGAACACACGGCCGCCACCGTGACACACCGCCGGCCACATCCTCTGCTTACCCAAGCCTGCGCTAGCGGCGTCGTCGTCGGGCCTTGCGTCACCTCGCCTCATGAATCTCCCGTTACTGTCGCACTGGCGCACCGTGATATCTGATGCAACCTGCGAAACTCGATGCCTTGTCACGGGATGACGCATAAATTTCGAAGGTGGGCGGTTGATGAACGCACGCGGATTGGTCATCGCCTGGTGGAGCGGCGTCTGATTGGCTACATTCCAAGGTCGTGGCTTCACTGGTCGGTACACTGAGAAGTTTCTGCGGTGCGCATTAAAATGCAGTGTTTTGTACTTGGTCTTTGTATGCCACGTTGCAGGTCTGCAAAAAAAGAACGCTGTATTTTTCCACCCACAAGTTGTGTGCGATATCCTCGTGACAGCAGTTTTGCTTTTGCTCCTTGCCTTGAGGCGGCGCCCGCAGCTCGAACGCTCCGCCCTCGTAGCCGACGCCAAGGAAGCTTCGCACGTACCTAGCCCACGCACCGTTCGCGCCTCTGTACAGCCATCGCATTCATATCCACATCCGCAATGAACTGGGCAGCGTCCACAACCTTGAAGCCCACGGGCCTCGCATCGAACAACTATGGCAGCATGGGCAATCTGCAGCCGATTCCAGAAGAAGACGAATCGAGCGGCATTAGATCGCCGCTTCCGACCAAGTGGAAGCCCATCGAGCGCGAAATCAAGCCGCAGTACTATGTCATGAAGAGCACGGCGCCAACCGCCAAGCTCAACCCGCGGGCCATCTTTATGGTCTTTTCGCTGCCCGCGATTTTGTTTCTCTTCTTCCTCTTCATCTTCATCTTGCGCGCAAATGCACCACTGCCCGTCATGCTGTGGCGGGACTGTGCTCGTGGGCAGTGGCCCAAGTCGGATGCGTGCCTCCCGACCAAAACGCTCGCTTTCCGCGCAACGACAGTTGTTCAGAACCTCACGTGGTCCGAGAAGCTCACGCAGTGCCAGCTCCGCGACAACGCACTACCTCGCCTCAACATCTCGAGCTTCCCATACTGCCAAGAGTCGATGTTCAAGCAGCTCATGCAATTGCACCCGACCGAGTTTGCGCCCATTGACATGAAGGCGTCGTGCAAGCAGTTCCACCTCCGCACATACACGCCGATCACGACACTTCGGGGCTGCAAGAACGTCATCAAGAGCCTCGTCGAAGACGGACTCCTCCTCTCACTGTACCCGTCCGAGCTCGCCGTCTGCGCCAAGTACCCGTACACGGCGTACGAAGTCGCGGCCCTCGACGACATTCTCGTGCGCCTCCTTGCCGGTCGGATTCTCGCCGACGAGTCGCATGAAGTGCGGGCCGGTGGTATCATCCTCGGCGGCCCCGAAAGCTTCCATGCTGGCATTCCCAAGAAGTACGGCATTGACTCGTAGTTAGCTTCCGCATAATTTATCGCTTAACCGCAGCCGCCTTGCTGCGGTCCATTTTGTCGCCTCCATCTCGTCCGTCTTGTCGTGCATCGCCATCGAATCTTGGCCTGCGGGGCGATACCACGCCTCGTGGCGCGATCACGCTCTCTCAAGGGAATAAAACATTATTTTATTCGTTTGCGCTCGCTCGCTCGGCGACGCATACGCCATTCGCATGATAACAAGAGCCGGCTTGCATTTGGGAGAAAGCAAGAGTACACATGTACGCCGACAGCTTCTCGGTCCATGGATCGAGGTTGCTCGTGGTGAGTGAGCAACGACCCGCCGATTCGGATTGGCTAAAAAGAGTAAAGTGGCCATCGCTGATTGGCCACATCATTTGCACCGAGTCTACCGACGACAGCGTGAAGGTAATGATGACCCCGTACCAGGTCCTCGAGACGACGTGCAAGCTGCTCGACCGCGGGGGCCTCGACCGCCGGGCCAAGCTCGAGACTGCGGGCCGCCTCACCTACGTAGGCTCTACCTGCATGCACATGGCCTCATCTTCGCCATGCATGCACAGGAGATGAAGAAAGATCCGCTGCTGCTCGAGCAGTTCCCCGTCGAGCGCATCCAGTACTGCGCGCGTGGCCTCTTCTCGGACAACGACACGTCTATCCGAACGGCGGCGCTGCGCGTGCTGCGCTACTCGATGATCAACAGCTCGTCGATCGCCAACGCCCTCATGCTCGTACGGCTCCATGCTGCCTCGTCCCTGCTCATGCGCTTGCTGCATTAGGGCGTCCAGCTCTTCGTGTCTCGGTCAATGGAGCGCGATGCCAAGCTCGTGGGCGAGCGCATCCAGGCGCTCAAGGTCGCGCGCCGCCTCCTCGAGATTGACGGGACGCAAATGCCATCGTGTCTCTGCCGGTCCATCGTCGCGATCGCCAACCACAAGGAAGACAACCTCCGGCGCGTCGCTCTCGAGTCGCTTCGGGAGCTCGCGATCGTCAACGTCCAAGTTGTCATTCAGTGCAACGGCTTCAAGACGCTTGTCGACTCGATTCTGGACCCGACGTGCCAGGTATCCGCATCTATCGATGCCTTCCTCGTCCCGCATCTTGATCATGCTTGTGCAGGACTTGGCCGATGCGCTGCTGCTGACGCTGCTCTACCTCGTCAACGAGCCCGCGAACCGCGACTACATCCACTCGTTCATTGACGCGCAGGTGCTCCTCGCCCCGTTCACCGACACGGACGCCCCCGCAGGCACCGAGCGTCGGCAGCGCTGGAGCGCCAGCCGCAACGCGATCGTCATGATGATGCGGTCCTGGACCGTACGCCCGTGCGCTCTCACACTTGTCTCACGAGGCAAACGTAGGGTATCTTGCTCTTGACGTCCAACCCGCAAGGTCTCAAGTCGCTCATTCAGCTGCTCGTGCAGCCCGTCGGCGACGACGTGCAGAAGGCTGTGCTTGCGACCATCTGTGAGATTTTCTACAAGCCGACGTCGCTCGACAAGGTGGAGACCGCGCACATGACCTTCGTCCGCTCAGGGCAATGTGATTAGAGCGGCAACGAGGTCGTGACACCCAACGAGCCGATCCCGATCGAAGACAAAGCGGCGGCCTCGACCACAGGCTACAACAACCTGCTCGACAACTACATGACGATGGTGCTGCTCTCGTTCCTCCACTGCGGCGTCATTGACGCCCTCATCACGCTCGGCACGTCACTGAACCGGTCGCTCGCCGAGCCCGCGCTCGAGCTCCTCTCGGACTTCTTGCGCATTAGCGCCCGGCTGCTACCGGACCAGCACTGCACCAACCTCTTGGCGTTACCGCAGCTTGTGACGACCACTGCGCTCTCGAGCTCGATGCCGCCGACCGAAACCAAGCAGCGCGAACTCGCGATTCGGTCGGGCGAGATGCTTGCGGAGCTCGCCCTTGTCGTACGTTGCTTGATCCACACAAGGCCATATAAACTGACGACGAGCTAGGTCGGGGGCAATGCCAACGCCCAGCGAGCACTGGCTGCGTCGTCGGGGGCGTCCAACGCCCCGATCAACGGCGTGCACTTGGCGTCCGAGCTGCTTCGCGGCACGAACCGCCCGGTGCAAAACTTTTCGACCGCGTCGCTGCTGCGGGAGGCAACCGCGACGTCCCGTGAGGTGCTCGTGCACTCGCTCAAAGTGCAAATGGACAATCAGATGGACGACCATACCTTCCGGTATCATATGCGACGGTCAATCCGTTCTGAGATGTAAAAAATGTAGCGAGATGCTCATGACCAAGTGCCGGGTCCTCAACGGGAAAGACTGGTATCGCTGGAACTGGGACGTCATTTCGGAGCTCCTGGAAGGCCCGCTCACGAATCCGTCGCGGCTCTCGGAGGCAATGAAAACCAAGTTCTTTAAACGCGTCTCGGGCTTTTTCCGCTGCGACAATAGCGACAAAGGTTGTCGCACGCTCCAACGCCAGTCATCATGTGGATATAATTGCGATTAGGCTACTTTGCGGGCCTGCCGTGGACGCCCGACTACGTCCCGTACCTGCGCCCGGCGTGTCAGATGTACATGCTCTTGCTCAACCACCCGGAAGGTCTTTCGTTCCTCAAAACCGACCGCCGGTACCGCACGACACTCTATTTCTCCTCATCATTTTATATTGCTCGGTAGTGGCCAACTCCTCACGGAAATCGCCAGTGCTTTGGAGCTCGAGGCGCGCCCGGAAGCTGCGATTGTCGAGTCGCACCTCGGGGACCTCCAAGCCCGCATGTTTAGGTACGCAAAATTGTGGCGCAGTCGTGCTCATGGCGGATGTGTGTAGCCCCGAGTACTGCTCCCGACGCATGCTGCGCGAGTACTTTACGCTGCTGGGTCTCATGAGCTCGTCGACCGAAGGCAAACACAGTAGTAGAGTGGATCGCATGGTCCTCATGTGTGGGTAGGGCTCAAAATGATGGAAAAGTCCGGGCTCTTCGCGCGCTTGACCAAGATGGGCCAAGCGGCCAAAGGGGGCAACAGCCACATGCTGCCCAACTTTGGTGAGCTCACCAAGATGCAGCGCGCCGAGAAGGAAAAGACACAAGGTACAAAATCGAAGCAGCTCGTATTGAACGACGCATCGTTTTGTAGGCCACGATTTCTTGTGTCGACTCATTCTCGCCAATCTCGACTACACGGTTGAAGGAAGCTCGCGCCAACTGCTCCAGGATTGGATGACGACCGGGTCCGAGTCGCTTCGGCTCTACGCAACGTGCCTCCTCCGCGCCCTTCTGCGCTCCGAGGTCCATCTTGTTTCCATCGATGAAGCTAACCCATACCCTCTGTAGGTTGGAGACTTTGCCAAGTGGGGTATCGACAGCCTCGTGGCGCAGCTGCACCAAGAGCCCAGTGTTGCGCGCGCGGCGCTGAGCGTCCTCGAGGAAGCCGCCGAGACGCCCGAGTACTTGCTCGCGATCATCCAAAAGAAGCCGTTGCAGCTGGTGCACATGCAGGCCGAAAGTCTCCTCCTCAAGTGCCTCTCGCTGCCCGAAGGCCTCGCCTTCTTGCGCGAGGTCACGAATTGGATTCCCGCGAGTTTGCTGAGCTGGCGCCAACACAAGCAGTGGGCGTACGTCCACTTGGTCGAGACGCAGCTCACGCGCGGTCTCTTCCGCGACAAGCAGCCGCCAACCTCGTCGATGGGCAACAAGTACCAAAAGCCCAAGCCAATTGCGATTCCTGTGACGGTGCCGAGTCGGCGCAGCAGCAACTTTAAGCAAGGTGCGCACCGCGGTCAGTGGGGTCTCGAGTGGCTCTTCCGCATGCCGTGGAACATGGAGGTCAAGATCGTCGGGCCGCCGGGCAGCGGGCCGCCCGCGCACCTCACGATCGACACGTACGTCGACGCGAGCGAGGTATGACGACTTCTTCCGTGTCCAACGAAAACACTAAAGATGGTACAATAGCCCGAAGACTCGCTGGACGGCCACCGCATGAACACGATCCGCATCAAGGGCGTTGTCGTGGATGCGCGCAATTCGCCCAAGCCGATGACAGTCAACAGCCAGCAGACGCTCCAAGCGTGTCTGTTTCTTGGTGCGCAGCCCGTGGACCGGAAGGGCTACACCAAGCCAGCACCGCAAAGCAACGGCGGCTTTCTCATGGCGCCGGCGAGCGAGAAGGACCCCAAGTCGGACCCGACGGCTCGCACGCGCGCCGTAGGTGGCCTATGCGTCCTTCCATTGTACGATGTGTTTTGCGTAGGTGAGCACGAGCACGGATCGGCTCTCGGAACACACGTCGCTGGCCGACGCGTACGAGCCGACGGACGAAAACAAGGACTGGAGCTCGTGCGGCCCCGAGCAGCGCTCGACGCAAACGCTTCTCGCCAACGCAGTGGCGGTCACGGAGAACGAGCGTGTGGCGACGCTGTGCCCACCGGGCGAACGTGCGCTCTGGACGTTCGACCTCGAGACGGACCACTCGCAGGCCAACCTCAAGCGCGTGCAGCTCAAGAGCGTCGAGTTTACGATTCAACTGCTGCCGAGCAAGGCGTCAACCGTCCCACTACCACCGCACCTCTATGGTGAGCTCGCCAAGACCAAAGACGGTATCGTGCTACTGCAGCAGTCGGGCTATGTGACTGAACTCGTGGTGGCCGTCAAGGACGCGGCCACGGCGCCGCTCGAACGCCGCGCGGCGCTCTGGGCGGTCGGCCACATTGCGGCCACGACCCGCGGGTACGATCGAATGATTGCGCCTTTCGTGTGTTTTGATCGCATGCGATGTAGGCTCGAGCTCCTCTTGAGTGTCGCGGAAGACCTCTTGGATGTCATTGTGGACATGGCGACGTCGGCGACGATGCTCAGCCTCCGAGGCACGTGCTTTTTTGTGCTTGGGATCATTGCGCGGTCGGCGCCCGGGAAGCGCGCGCTCGCCAAGTACGGCTGGGACACGCCCCGGGACGCCCGGGCCATGATTGCGGTGCCGTCCAAGCCCGAGACGCTCTTTGCGTGGCCGGCGGGGACGCCGCCGTCGCCGGCGAGCATGGTCGACCTCAAGGCGTCGTTCGAGGCGCCGTCGTACAAGGCAGCGCCCCGCGGCAAGGAGATTCTGCGCCTCGTCGGCGACTTGAGCTCGCACATTACGCAAAAGGAGGCGGGCGCGGCGCTCAACCGCATGAAGAACATGTACCCGGATCTGTTTGAGGACACGGCGCTGGCGCTCTCGGCGCACACGCTGCTGTCGCGGTACCACTACCGCCTCACGGCGCGCCAGTTTGTGTTCAACCTCTTTGAGAAGGCCGACTTGACCAACGCCGCACTCGACATCCACTTGCACAAGCCGACCCCCGTGGCGACGCGCCGGCGGTCGTCCGTGTCGGCGCCGTCGCTGTCGTCGACGATCCAGTCGCTCCAGCACACGCACGCGAAAGAGACGATCGTTGCGACGTCGCGCCCGATGCTCGATCAAGAAAGCACGATCTTTGTTGGCGCCCAGCAGGCCATGGTCTAAGCATCCGTCTTCACTGAACGAGATTTTTCATTGATTCCTAATGACAACCAACGGCTCCGATGCGATCCAAGCGCCCCAGTGCGACCGCGCGCAAGGGTGCAAGGAAGGGTACTACATCCGCAGGGTACAACAACACGATGGCAAGACAACATGGCGAATTGACACAACCCGTGGCCGTGGTGCTACCCAGGGGTGCTACCGTCTGCTGTGATTGGCTACATCGTGGATACGCGTCATGGATTGGCTACATGTACCCAATCAGATCTCTCGATTCTGATTGGGATCCACTTTGGGCCAGCTGCATGAAGCCGCTGCCTCGTCGTCGGTGCGATCCTCGTCACAGGAAGAGAGAGGACGAACGATTGGATTTCCCAAGCATTGCTGTTATCTTTGGCTTTGGCGATGGGTGATGTTGAGTCCCATCACAAGAGGTGATAACGGCGCATTTGCACGGGGTTGTGATTACATGTGTACTACTCGAGTACTGCTCTATTGAAAAGTCGTGTGCAGACTCGCGGTCATGTGCAGTCTCGCGATTTGGGTAACAACAATTCGAGTATGAGTTGTCGTCCCCACAACACATCGATGGCCACGGAGCAGGTGGTTGCCTTTCAATGCTTGAAGTACGCTGTTGTCCTCCGCTCGGTTCTCTAAGATCTGCGCATGATGTCGCCAAAGCATTGCGTAAAAAAGATAAATATTGGATTTGAAATATAGACTACTTACGATGTCTTGGCCACGGCTTCGGCGTGCTTGACGTGGCCGGGGCACAGACCGTGCAGGCGCGAGAGCCGCATGCAGCCACCGACGGAGCACGCTTTGTTCTTGCGGTGCACGTCACAGACGCCGCCGCCACGGTCCGTGCGATGGCAGCCGTCGACGACGCAGTAGCGAAACCCACCATGCTTGGCGCAAAGGCTCCCGCGCTGGACGCCCTTGTTGCAGCCGCGCTGAGTGCAGCGCTTGCCGCCACCGTGGGCGCGGCAGAAGCCACCGCCCTGGGAGCTCTTTTCGCAGCCCGAGAAACCGCAACGCACGCCACCACCATGGGCCTTGCACAAGCCGCCGGTTTGGACGGCTTTGACGCAGTCGGCGATGGAGCAGCGCCGGCCGCCGCCATGCGTGATACAGAGACCGCCGCTCTGCGGTCCCCGGGAGCAGCCGGCGTAGCCGCAACGCTTGGCGTGGCCGTGGTCACGGCAAAACCCGCGCGGCGAGAGAATGGACGCGGCGCAGCCCTCGACGAGGCAGATGAATGGCGTCTCGACCGTGAGGAGAACGGGCGACTCGAAGAGACGTGGCGACGTGGGCATCGGGAGGTCCGTAAAGGTCAACACTTCGTCGAAGAACGAGGCTTCCAACTGCGCGCTGCTGAACGTGTCGTCGATCTCGTCGGACATGAGCGTGGCGTACAGGAAGCTGGCTTCGTCATGCGTGAAGGTGGCCAAGGCCATGCTCGTCATCTCAAGGAAATCTGAAAATGAAAGCGCGACAGCTCGTAATGTCGTGGTGGCTACTCGAGGCTGGAACCACGCTCGCGAGTACCCAGGCTCCTGGTGTGATCCTTCGGGTGGGGTTGCTCACTGGCTGGCACCCCAAATTTGATTTCGATCTTCCGACATCGCCGGCCAATCCAGGCAAAAAACGAAGAATCTTTTTAAAATATTGATATTCCAACCCGATCGGCAGGTGGTTAAGTTGTGCTGACCGCACTACGAAATGAACTCGGTTTTTGTATGCACCGGCGTGGTAAGCTTAGAGCTCAATGGTTTAGAGCGCCGACACGCTTCGAGCCCGCTCTATGCGTGTACTTCATCTTGCTGTGATGGCGCCGCCACGTAACATGTAGTACGCTATGCTGTCGTCGGTGCGAAGTCGATGACGCCAAGACGAAGCGCCGAACAGACCTATCATTTCGGAGCGGGCAGCTGTCGCTGGAATCTGCGCCTTTTATCCGGTCGCCTCGACAAGACGCCCAGCAGATGGGCTACTCTGGCATTGGATTGGTCGGATATACTAGCTGTGGTCACTCATACGGCAAGGCGCCAGCCTCTCCATGCCACACAACTCATACCGTTGAGCACAATGCACTATATATGAGGTCGGTCAAAACCAAACCCAGCGTTAGCATATTTGAGACGGTTTTGGAGTACTGAGCAATTCTTGTACAATACTTTATGGGGAATCGACTGGTGTAGCTCTTATGGACAGAAACGTCGTACTTCCTGTGCTAACCGGGCGCGAAAGAGCGTTAGAGTAGCCTATCAGCGACCTCCTGTCCGCCTCCGACGTTCTTCAGCTCGATCATTGGCTCTCGCCTACCATCACCTTTCGAAGCAACCAATGGAATCGCTTTCTGGCGACCAATCAAAAGCGCAGAAAACTTTGGAGCCCATTTTCTCAAATCGTTAGCAGGCCGCTAACACGAGGTTTTGTTTTGACCGTCCTCATATAGTGCAGGGGGCGCCGTGTATCAGAGAACGAATACTGCGCCGTGGATTCAAAGTCAATCGCCGTCTTGACGACGAACAACAAAATGATTGGTGGCAAGCCAGAGAAAGGTCGGAGTGGAAATCTTCAGTGGGTAGGCGAGGCAATACCGGCACGACTAGAATACAGTACTAGTATGTTTTAGCCGCTAAACGCTAAATGAGCTATATGTCTCTAGTATATAGATGTAATAGGACGAAGCCGCGTTTGGAGTTGCCAGGGAGTTGATATTTTTCAAAAATTACCCGGCTTGATTTTGAATGTAGCATTCATTTGCGCACACTTTAGTGCACGATGTTTCGCGACCGTCTCCAGCTTTGGTCGCACCAAACGCGCTCGCTCGTTGGTAAGGTAGTCATCTTGCAGGCTGTCTGCCTGCCAGTCCTCTGGTATCAGCTCACGTGGGCTCCTCCCGACGCCTCGCTCGCTGCCCAAGTCGATCGGCTCATGCTCCAGTACATCCACGACGAACCGCTCACGCTCACCCGTCGTCGGGTGCATCGGCACTTTGCTCAAATTCTTGTCTCCTTAGCCAAGTGCCATGCCGGCCTCGGTCTCTCGCACGCGCACGACCTCTGGAAATCGCGCATTCGCTCTACGTCGCTCCGTTTTGTCAAGGCATGGTTGAGCCAACCAGAAGACCCGCCCACGTGGACCACGGCAGGTGTCGCGCTCATGGAAGAGGCGTACCAACCGTGGGGGTCTTTTGGCGACCTACTCCACGCCAGCAAGGACCACCCGACAGTCAAGGCTCTCCTCGCAGCACCCAGCTTTCCTGCGCGATGGTCATCAGCTCTCATCGAAAGGTTCTCGCACGTCTACACCATGTATGGCTCGCCTCGCCCAGCTCCGCTCGTGCTTCATCGGCTTCCGCTCTGGCACAACGCGCATCTTCCTGCGTCAAGCAAGCTCAAGTGGCTCGCGCAAAATCACGACTCGGACATCGAGACGCTCGTCGCTTAAGGTTACACGCACGTAGACAGCTTCCAAGCCCTTGGACACACGGTCGCCGACCTCGAAGAACATCCACCACGACGTTTTCCCAGCTGCAGCCAACCCGCCGTTGGATCCGGCTGCTCGCGACCGCTCTCGTTCGATGCTTCCAGCTCATCCCGTCTGCCGATCGTGTCGTGCGCCCTACCAGTGCCCCGCCATGGCTCGTCAAGTTCACGATAATATGATAACGTAGAGGACGATTAGAAGAAACTGGAAGTGCTAATAGGTTAAATCGCATACTCTGTGCTGTGCTCGTACCCACTATGTGGCGACGAGACGTTGGACGACGACATCTGTGGACCGCCCACAACACGCGGCTCGACGCCGTCGCGCGTTGTCACGTACCGCTTTGCATGGGCTACGCAGAGGCCTTGCTTGCGCGCCATGCGCATGCAGCCGGAGAAGGCGCACGCCAAGTTCTTCCGATGGACGTCGCAGCAGCCGCCACCACGGTCCGTCCGGTGGCAGCCATCCACTTTGCAATACTGAAATCCGCCGTGCTTGGCGCAAAAGCTGCCTCGCTGCACGCCCTTGTCGCAGGCAATGGCTTGGCAGCGCTTGCCACCACCGTGTTTTCGGCAATAGCCACCGCCTTGCGAGCTCTTGTCACAGCCGTCGGCACCGCAGCGGATACCGCCGCCGTGAGACTTGCAGAGGCCGGCGGTTTGAACGGCCTTGATACAGCCATCCATCGAGCAGCGACGCCCGCCGCCGTGGGTGATGCAAAAACCACCGCGCTGGGGGCCGCGGGGGCAACGTGGTCGGCCACATTTCTTAACACCTCCGTGGTCGCGGCAGTGGCCCCGGCGCCACGGAATGGGCGCGTGGCAGCCATCCGTGAGGCACACGGAGGGTATGTCCTTGGTCTTCTCGAGGTGCGGCGACGGGGGGTAGAGCGTCGTTGGCGCTGAAAAGACCACGGGCGGGTACTCGATGTCGATGGGGGATGACGGTGCATAAAACGTCGGTGGTTGATACGCGTAGAGCAGCATAGAGGCGTCGTTGGACGGCAATTGCATGACGTGGTCAATTGGGGCGCTGTAGATCGGAAACGATGGCGGGTACGCAAATTCGACGCAGCTCAAAGCGTAGTGTGCGTCTTCGATGTACGACATGTTGTTTTGATTAATGAGTGCCAATTTAGCGCGCAGGAGTTGGTAGTATCCACTGAAAAGAGTCTGTTGGCGCTTGAGAGAAATCACGAATCGCACCCATCGCGACAGCTGGCGCGCCACGTCATGACCGATGAAGTGCGATTTCGTGGATCTTTGGCTTCCCTCAGTCCATGGGTGGAACCAGCTGGCAGGGTTGTGGATAACTCGGCACTCCACTTGTTCACCATGTGTTTGGATTGGGAACGCGCGAGCGAGCTATGTATTATAATAGACTGCAAGACACTTATCGCTTTGCTTTCAAGGCGTTAAAAACGTCTAACCGCCACCACAGCCGTTGTGACATGCTCTTCAAAACGACGAGTGGAGAAAAGTGTTGCCAAAGGTGCAACCCTTCTTTGGCTCGCCTTTCTCTGTTGGTGGCGACTGCGTACACGCGACAGTCTGTCATACGGGTAGTAATAACTTGAGTGTCGGCTGTGGCGCATGCTGCTTTTTTGTGCAGTGCCTTGTCCAACTCCATGGTAGTCGATTTTTAAGTAGCTCCGCCCTTGGAAGCTCCGGTGTGCCACGAGCCTTGGGCGAGGTGCTCGACTTGATGCCCTGGAGCAGTAGCTACTGCATCTATGACGCTCTGAGCTTGAATAGTTGGCAACTATGCAGCAGCGAGCTTGAAAGCGGAGCATCTCCATCTGAACCACGTTGAATTCGACGCCAAATATTCAGCGCTGGACAGAGACGATGAGTAACCGAGGCTGTGGTGTAGCACCGGTACATGCGCCTGCACCAGCACTGTCCTTCGCTGCTACCACCCAAAATGACGCAATCGGCAGCTCCAAAGCTGCACGGTTGCATGGTACATATTAGTAGAGACCTCGTCAGTGACAAGGTGTGTATGAGGGACAAGAGATGAAGCTGAGTTGTTGCCTGATCTCATGCCACGCCAAACGACTAAGCCATCCAATTGGTAATCATTCCAAAAGTATAAATTTACATGTACAGTATTCGAACGGTTCGATCAATCCGCCGGTATCGACATTCAAGTACTCCTCGAGCAAGCTCAATTGCTCTCTCGTTTTGCCGGCCCCACGATGCGAGTGAAGACGCAAAATGATCGTAGTGCTATGTTGTGGTTGCATCATGCAAAGCCACGAATCTATCTGGGCGCCCGAACTCATTTCGATTACTTGTCTTCACGAGCCAAAGTGTCGTTTGGATATCATAGTAAACATTTCGACCAATTGTGTCTCCTACGACGCCAAGGTCTCCGCACTTGGCCAGTCGAACAGCCTGTCAACCAGCTGTCCTCGTGTCTCTTCAAACATCTGGCGGGAACAATTCGATGATGATAACACGATCAGAATCAACAATCCTCATTCATTCATGCACTAGCCACGCCCGACCAAATGGCTCTCCTCTTCACACAAGCCGAGGCCGACTTCATCGTCCGCACCTTCTGCGGTCGACCCGACGCCAATGCCGTGCATTCGTCCGCCAAGCACAAGCAGATGCCGCCCCACTCGCCCAACGGCGTCGACGATCCCCTCGATGCCCTCCTGTTCTGCGACCTGCCACTCGACCACTCCCCAACTAATGAGATACCTCACGTCTGCCTCGCGCCCGACTGCCACCAGCGCACCCAAGCAACGCGCGGCTACTGCCGTCAGCATGGTGCCACCAAGCGCTGTGCGTTTGCAGGTTGTCCGCGTGGCCCCCAGCGGGGTGGCTTTTGCATCACCCACGGCGGCGGCCGCCGCTGCACCGTTGACGGCTGCAACAAGGCCGTTCAGACCGCCGGCCTCTGCAAGTCTCACGGCGGCGGTATCCGCTGCGGCGCCGACGGCTGCGACAAGAGCTCGCAAGGCGGTGGCTATTGCCGAAAACACGGTGGCGGCAAGCGCTGTCAAGCTGTTGGCTGCGACAAGAGCGTGCAGCGGGGCAGCTTTTGCGTGCAGCACGGCGGCGTCCAGTACTGCAAATTCGATGGCTGCCACCGCACGGACCGCGGTGGCGGCTGCTGCGACGTCCATCGCCACAACAACGAGTGCACGGTTGGGGCTGCATGTCACCAAGGTCTCTGCGCTGCACACAAGCGGCGACATGTCCGTGTGTCGTACGCGGTGCCAGCTTTCCTCTATGCCTCGTGATGAGGCTAAAGATGTATGTACAAGTGTTTCTTTTCAAATGGCCCAATATGACGTCTACATACATCGTGCAAACGAAGCAGTTGGGCGAGTGCACACGAAGAGCGTCCGATCCATCGTTCTATGAACCTCACTCCAAATTGCGCGAACGAATTGTTTATTAGTTCGGCTCAAAATGTCAAGTGGACCAAAAGCAACGAAGCATAATGATAGATGAAACATCGCGTCGAACGAGTCTCTCGTCGGCAGCCTGACACGTTGCATGAAGATGCGACGCAATGCCTCGTGACTCTTGATTCCTGTGGCACATGGGAGGCACGTTTCAGGATGTTATAGTCAGGACGCGTCCTGCCCTAGGCTCGCTGTGCTTGCGGCAGACCCCAGGGTGCCAGACGACGCGGTCGATGCCGCAACGACCCTTCTCAATGCTTCCAGCCACGAACGCATTCGCTCCTAGAATCGTACAAGTCATATACCTCGTCCCATCAAAGCTCACCACTTGGGTGCCACAGAACGCATCAAATGCCGGGTCGCTTAGCGGCAAGACATCTTTTGGAACAAGCTGCTCGCGTGTGTTAGCATCGCCATGTCGTCGGTGAATCTCTCTGATTCGAGCACAAGGCCAGGCTCCGGCAGCAGCGGCACCAGCCGCGTGCATAGCACGTAGAGGCTCGTGGCGACGAGCTTGAGGTTTGCTTCGACTTGCTTGTGGGGGCGCGCGCGGCCGCCAATGCCGCTTGTCCACGGCTGGAGCACGACGTACGGCACGACAACTCGTCCGAGGACAAAGCCGACCACCACGAGGTCGAAGCGAGCGTCGGTCGCCATGTTGCGCGTCGCGCCGAGCGCGTTAAACTCGAGCCCCACTCGCTCGGTGGCCGACAAGTACTACGATGTTATCACCGCTTTTCCATGCGATGTGGTGGTTACGTTGGGTGGAAAGTAGACGCCATCGCTTGTAAGCTTGGCGAGGAACTGAAGAATGGCTTTGGGAATCGGCTTCTCCGTCGTCTTGACAAGGGCGTCGACGAGACCCTTGATGCGAACCTGTCTTCAATGTTAACAAATGGGAAAGACATTGTCGAGTACTTTGAGCTGGAGAATGCTCTCGGGTGCGCTTGCTTGCTTGCGTGCCAAGAGGCTGCCAAATTTCTTCTTCAAGCTCGTCTCGGGGGCGCGCATCGATAGCACAAGCGTTGGGTCCTACTGTGCGTACTAGACTGGCGTTCCGAGTGACAGAAGTAGGTGCCGTACTTGGAGAATCGAGAGCACCGGGAGACGCATGTCTTTGGCCAGCCACGACCGAATCGCTTCCGAGTAGACATCAAGCATATTGGCCATCACCTGGATGGATGTCGTCGCCGACTCATATCGGGCTAGTATGGTACCTTGGCTTCGTCGGCTTGCTGCGATTGCTGGCGCTCAAAAGCGAGTCGTTGAAGCCGGCGCGTAAATTGCACGGCGACCACGGCCGATCGAAAAATGGTCCGCAACTATGCACAATATGTCATTTACATAAAAAGGCACTCGGGCGCGCACCGGCATTGGCGCTTCGGCGAATGCCGACACGACACCAGCCGCCGCGTCTGCGTCCTGACGCCACTTGGGGCGTAGCACAACGTCGTCGGTCGGAACGGTGAGCAGTTTTTTGTGCCGTCGGACGTCTGCCGGTGTCTAATGGGACTTTGTAAGAATCGTAGGCGGAGCATTATTTGATGGACGAACGGCCTCGTTGGCTTCGGGAGACGCCCGTCGTGTGTCAAGTACGTCGTCGTCTGGATCGTCCGGCGGCAGTGTCAGCAGCTACAAAGATCCTCCGTCGCGTGCTCCGGTTGTATGCAGAGCAGCGCTACGCTTGCATCGAGTTCGCTCCACGCCAAATCGTCGTCCAAGGGCAGTCGTGCGGCGGTGGCGGGCTTGGTCGCTGTCGCCACGCGCGCCGGGGGCTCACGAAAGGTTGGTGTGGGCTTTGTACCAGGCCGTTTGGCGCTCGCTCCAGATGCGAGACCTGGCAACGTTGGTGCGTTCAGAATCGCCGACTTGTGGGGTCGAGCCGGGGGCGACGCGGCGCGGTCATCGCTCGTCTCGGGCGATGGCTGCTCTGTATTTTTCTGTCCTAAGAGCGTCGCAAGGTGCTCTTGTTGGGCGAGAACTCGCTCCAACGTCCGCGCCATTTCGACGTGGCTGTCGTGCTACGCTTCGGTCGATCAGCTTGCAAGGTATTTAGGTAGACAATCCATTGCCTTTTGCTTGGCCATCGCAGCGTCGTGCATGGCCTCGAGCTGCTGCCTGACGACGCCATGAGATTCCCACACGGTCGGTGGTGGTGGTGTCTACAGCATAGCTTGGTTGCGCTGGCGCAGGGCATCTTTAAGCAGGTTTTGCTGGAGCTCTCGGATGCTCTTGCGCAGCTCGGCTTGCTGGCGCTGCGGTGCGAGTGCATACCCATACATACCCCGTAGGTCGTCGACTAAATTAAGCCCAGCGCGGTTTCTACCGCCACCGAGTTGCGCATAAGCTAGCTAGTCGTTCTAGCAGTCCATCCAAGGCGAGCTCTGTTTCATCATGTTGGCGTCCCAAGCTCGGTCATTTCGCGGCCAGGAGCCGGTCTACCCACCAGTGCATGCTTGCCACGCTCGTTTGCGCGCTTTGGCAACCCTTTCGCACACCTTCATGGAGTATTAATATATATCGTTGTCGCATCGTACTGCAGACAGCGACAGGGCATGGCCTGCCTTACCGCTGGACCTGCTTTGGCCGACGATCCAAGACCTAGCGATGTCACGCATGAGAGCTATGCATGTCGTTTGGCCTCGACCTACCATGAGCCCCGACGCGTCCTTGGTGTAGAGGTAGTTGCTGACGTTGGGCGTCTCCTTGAAGATCATCGTATACTCGCCAATGCGCTCGATGCGTCCGGCGGCGCTGAGGCTCACGACCAAGTGCGTGTTGTGGAACGTCAGCTGCGCATTCTCGAGGCTCAGGATGTCGCCGCAGTTGAGGCCAAGCGCCAGCGACCGCTTCACGAGCATCGAGGCAGCGCCTGTCTCGTCGGCGATGAGCACGGAGGCGTAGGCGGCGGTGTTGGCATTGAGGTCGTCCATGTCCAGCACGATGACCTGCAGGTTAACGACCATCTTGTCCTTGTCGCCCTTGGCCTTCTCCACGAAGAGCGGGAGGTCGCGGACGCGGTTCGTCGCGCTGCTGCTGTTGCGCTTCCGCAGCGCCATGTTGCCGGATTCTCTCAAACCTGATACTGCATGTGTTTGCCAGATCGCACGCACGCGGTGTTTTAAACACGTTGACAACACCTCAAGTTGAAGCGCTGAATCGCCATGGATCATTTTCGTGGACAATCTGTACATTACTGTGTGGACCCGTCTGCAAAGCTGACACCCGATCGAGTACGTACAACATGTGGTCACTCTTGCTACCTAAGGGCGTCGTAGGATCGACGAGGTGTGCAGCACTTTTGTGGTCGAGTCCGTAGGGCTGTACCAGCAGAAACGTTGTCCACCTTCGCGCCTGCTTCTAGCCACGCAGTGCAACACCAAGCTGACTCTGTTGTTGGACAGACCGAGGCAGTACGCTGCCCCGTTGCCTCTCTAGTCTGACACGGCTGGACACTTCGGTTCAGGGCTCGCGGGCTACCGGCGCCGCGCGCCTCGATGATGCGAGGAGATCACGGTCGTGGTCGAGGCGGTGCAGTTGTCGCCAACCAGTTTACAGTCGCTGCGTGCATTGCTACCCGCCTAGTGCTTGCCGTCGACGACGGGTCGGTTTCGAGCGGTTTAAAACAGTCGGCTTTCAATACCACTCACTTTATTATATTTGAGAGGTTTATATTTGAAAGGTTCCATTTTGATACAATGTCCACGCCGCAAGCCGACAGCAGCGACGTCGTCATCGAGTACAAGGGCAAGAAGGGCCGCGCTGCTCATGAGCGCAAGCAGCTCAAGAAGGACGAGGCCGTGACGGAGCAGCTCGCGACGCTCCAGCGTGGGATCTTGAGCGAGGCCAAGTTCTCGGCCGGTAGCGTCCAGCCGACGCGCTTCCGCTGCACGAACGCTTCGTTGGACCGCTTCTCGTTCGTCTACGCGACGGGCAAAGTCGTCTTGGAAGGCCACGTCAACTTGGCGTTGAGCGCAGACGAGCAGGCGGATGTGACGCAGGGCACGCAAGGTGCCAACATCTCGAACATTGTCAAGATGAAGCCAATGGCGTCCGAGGCGCTCTTGACCACGCCCGTGCACAAGTACGAGATTCAGGTATCCGTCTCATCGTCCTGCGAGATGACTCAGTGTTCGACTATTAGTCGATTGCCGCCCGCGCCGACTCGCACCCGAGTACGACAGCTGCGTCGCGTCGCCCTTCATAGCTCATGATGATGGTCGCGTAGACCCATTGATTGCATCCATCGATGCCCGAGGCGCCGCGTTCCTGTACACCAAGAGCACAGGCTCGACCGACGACGTGGGCAGTCCCCAGCGCAAGAAGCAAAAGCAGCACAAGTTCGACAGCCATACGCTCACGGCGTCGACAACCGCCGAGGTGGGCTGGGCCGGCATTGCCTTGGACCCGACCGCGTCGTCCAGCGTACGTCCGCCTCTGTTGCGTGGCCAAGACATACAGCTTTGCATCTATCGTTAGGTGGTGGCGACGGCGCACTTTTTCGCCAAGGAACTTCGCTTCTTTGATGCGACGACGCTGCAGTCGACGTGGGTGCAGCCGACGGTGATGCACCCGACCGCGCTGACCTTCTCGCCGACGCTTGCCTCGACGGCCGTTGTGGCCGAGTACAACCAAGTAGGCGCGCGTCTCCTCTTCTCGCTCATGGAGGTTTACCGTCTAGTTTTCGATTTGGGACGCCAAGAGCAACAAGCGCGTTGCCCGAGACGGAGCACCGTCGCAGGGCTGCTTGTACGCGATTGCGTGCTCGCCCGACGGCCACTCGATCGCGATGGGTGGCGAGGACAAGGTTGCGTACATCTACGACACGCGCATGTGGAAGCTCCGGAACCGGTACCGACAGCGTCGTCTCCTCTGCATCTCTCACCTGCTGCGACAAGGTGGCGGTGCCCGCTCAAGTATGATATTGCGTACCTCGCCTTCTCGCCGTCGCAGAGCTCGCTCTGCTACGTCGCGGGCCTCGACAACGAGCTCATGTGCGGCGAGCACGACGCGTCGAAAGAGAAGAAGCAAAAGCACAAGGAGCCGGCGCCCGCCTACTCGCCGTCGATTTTGCAGCAGAACCACCGGCTCGGCTTCCGCGGCGACTCGCGCTGGATCGGCCTCGACATCGTTTCCGCGTCCGAGGACGAGGACATGGGCGTCGGCATCTGCGAGAGTGGCAGCGCGTATGTGATTCGCCCTGCCCAGTACATGCTCGGCCACTAGATCCTCATCCTCGATACTATGCATAAGGCGACACGCTTCCTATCAACGACAAGTGTGCATTGTGCATTGTGCTTATGCCTCCTTGGTCTTGGGCCGGACCTCGGCCTCCGAGATCGACCGGACGTACACCGTGTCGTCTTGATTGCTACGGAGATGGGATGAGACGACGAACCGACAAGGTGCGGAAGCATACTCCTTCGGGCCTTCTTCGTACGTGTCGGACGCCGCCACGGCCAGCTTGGACCCGTCGTGGTTGAAGGCCATGGACGCGACGCTAGCCACATACAAGGTCGTGCAACAGAGATGCAAGAGGGCCTACCTCGCACCAAACTTGGCGAGCTGGCAAATGCGCTTCTTGTTGTCGCCGTCCCACATGTTGACGACGCCGTCGCAGCCGCCGGTCGCGAACGTGCCAAACGTCGGGTGGAAGGCGACCGCGTTGACCGGGTACACGAGCGTATCGGTCTCGCTCACCTTTTGTCGGTGGCACTTGAACGCGTACCCTTTCTTGGCGGCGTCAAAGTACTCGAGGCCGACGCGGCCTTCGGTCGTCGTCACGACGTAGCCTGTCGAACGACTTTGTACGTGCATGGATGAGACAAATGCGTACCTTGGCCGTCCGGGATCATCTCAACACAGCGAATCTGGTACTTGAGCGGCGAGTCGCGGACCTCGACCGGCGCTGCGGGACGACGCACGTCGAAGAGCGCGACCTGCTTGGCCGATGTCCCGATAACAAGGCTGTGCTCGTGCATCGACATCGAGTACACTTTGCCGTCTTGCGGAAGGCGCATCGTCGGCGTCTTGGCACTGGCTTTGGCGTCCCATGCGGCGACGGTCGCGTCCCACGACCCAGAAAAGACAAGCCCCGTCGACGCGCTGTAGCGCAAGCAGCTCACGGCTTTGGCGTGCGACCCGAGCGTAGCGTGCGTGTTGGACGGCTGCTCGAGGTTGTGCAGGAGGACCGAGCTCTCGAGGCCACCGCTGAATGCGCTGCTCTTGTCGGCGCCGTAGCAGGTCGCGAGCACCGGGCTCCCGACCTCCATCTTCAACCGCAGCCGGTGGTTAGGGACGTCATACACGCGGACGCTGCAGTCCCAGGAGCTCACGAGGAGGTGGTCTTCGGGGCCGCTGCTGAAGCGGACGCTTGTGATCCCGTCGGTCGGGCTCGGCGACAGCGCGGTCGGATCGGGGTTGCTCATGGCGCTTCGTTTCCTCTCCTTCTACTCGATCGAACCCTCCGGATACATTCCGGAAACCCAACCGGATACGCCAGCAAGAGGTACTAGCCATTAGTCGATTTCTACTAGGAATTATAAGGTATGAATTAAATTTGTTTTGCTAGGAATTATTCGCCTCGGCCAGTGCAAGCCGTGGGTTAGCAGCACGCAGCAGGGATCGAGTTCCGACGACGTGTAGGGGTGTTGGCCTTGCTTACAACTGGAACTAGTATTAGTACGCACAGTCCATATTGTCCCGCAGCTTGGTCCCGCCAACGTTCGCTTCGTTGTATTATAATAGCTCAAGGACGCCGGTGGCATTTTTTGCTGTATTCCTACCTGGGTCATCGTAATTCGTGCCTTGGAAGCGATTACCTCGTATGCAACTCTAGGAGCCTGTGTGCGGGGCGCAATCATGGCCGCTCCCCGCGCGTTCGTAGACCTAGGGAGATGGCGCTGGGAAAGAGATCGCAAGACGGCCCAACCCGGGATCTCAATCATAATAAAATAGGGCTTACATTAATGACGTGGCGAGTTTACAGGCGATAGCGATTAACGCTGGTGAAGCTAGTACTAGTATCATTCGGGCCAAATGATGAGTCGTAGTTCTCGAGGGACTCGTCGCTCTCACGGGGCGTGGTCTCGCTCTCGCACTCGGATGGGAACCGGAACGGGCTGTCCAGATACGACGCAATGCTCTCCGAGAGGCTTGGGTTCTGCACCGGAGTCTCGATGACGTACGGTGCCGGCGCAGCGTTCGATGACACGGTACCTTGGAGCGACACGGGGTTGTACATGCGCTGCGTACTCAGAAACGGCGACACCGTCGGGAGCGGACCTCGCTTCGCGTGGAGGCTCGGCGGCTGGTACAGATCTTGCGCGGCGCTCGGGCGCAAGCTAATGACAGGGCACGGCGAGAGGTCTTCAAGGATGTAGAGCGACCCGTCGCCCACATACGTCGAGCTGTATGGCCCGGCTTCGATCTTCTCGGTGCGCGTTCCCTTCTTCCTTGCCCGGACGGCGACGACTGCAAGAATCGCAATGAGCACGACGCAGCCAATCGAGAGCGTCAAGATGTTGGTGAGGCTCCATGGCCCGCTAGGGCTAGCCTCGGCTACTATCACACGCTGGATCGCTGGCGCACTCGTCGATGTCGGCGTTGGTGGCGCAATCGTGTCACTGAGTAGAGCGCCGGCCTCCTCTGTGCTGTTACTGTTCGAGGCCGCAGTGAGCTGCAGCATCAAGAGCAGGGTGAGGACGAGGAGGCCACTGCGAACTGCGCGTGGTCGTCGTGCCATAGCTGCGTTGCACTGGCTCTGGATAAATAGGATTTGGCCAAAGACGCTGCCGCCGTCCACCACACGAAGGCAGCTGAGAAACGAGCCGCCGAAAGAAAGGCCGCCAGGTGGCCGCGTACTCACGCGCCGCCTGGTCCACAGGCCCGCTGACTGGCTAGACAAGTAGTCACCTGGGTGCTGTCACCCCAGCTGGCAAGCGATGCGCGTCTCAAATCCTGGCTTGGTCGTTGCAGAGTCTTGTAATTGGCTTGGGGTTTGTATGCTCAACGTGATTACAGCAACGGTACACTGTATCGCTCGTGCTGTGGGCGAGGCAACGCCGTCGTCGCGCAGCACCTGCTGGTTGCGATACAGCGGTTCGATGGTTGTCAAGAGATGAATCGACCAATCACAGGGAGTAAACAGTTTATTTCGATCCTGGATTGGCGCGCAATACATCATCTCATGCAATGATAATATGCGGTCGTGGATGATGGAGGTCACGTCCAATACAAAATCTATAGTACAGTGTTTTGATGAAATGGCCCCCGCCTTCAGCATCCTTGGTGCGTCTGATCCAGCGGTCACGTGCTACTTTCGCGCATCGGCTGTCTGCGCCAATGCGTTTGTTGGATGACGCAAGGACAAGTAAGATCTTGGTGCTTTCAGCCTGCCGAGGGCATTCCGGTTGGGCTGTAATTGCCTTTTGCAAGCACGCGTGCTGATCAATCGCCAGCAAGTTCGACGACTCGCACACGTGGGCCTTGCTTGCCTGCGACAAGCCCACGCATCCCGTACACTGTACGACCGGTGGAGGGCAGGAAGGCTGCCGAAACAAGTTCTTCGTGCGCAGTAAGTCGGCGGCAGAATGCGATGAGCGACAGTTGTGTTTATTCTGTGTTGACGAGCTAAATAATGTTGTGGCAACGACGTCGTACTAAGCCTACTTTGGACTAGTACTCGCTGCTGTCCATCGCACCCTCGGAGATGCAGTCGTCGTCCATTGACCGCCGGCTCTCGAGGTACAGGACCGACTCTTCAGAGAGCGTGTAGCTGGAGCGGCCCGACGCGCTGCCCCATGACGAGCCATAGATGTCCACCGCGACGTTGCAGCCAATGCTTTCGTGGCCACTGGGCGGCGCAAAGAAAAAGTCGGTCGACCGGTTCGTGGAGCGGTTCTCGCTCGACCAGAGTTCCACTGCATCGGCGTCGCTCGAGTCTGTGTCGGTCACTGCCATCGCCATCGCCGCTGTGTTGGTATCCCCAAGGATGAAGAAGATCGAGTCGCGGCCATCGTTGTTCATGACGGTGGGTTCCGTATCCCGGGCCTTCTTCGCACTTGGCTTGTGGAGGCTGGACGTGGCGGGGCGACGCCGAAAGCAGTAGCCATAATGGTAGCAGACGAGGCAGGCCAGTAGCACGAGCAGCCCTGCAAGGACGCAGCCAAGCACAACGGAGAGCGGCAGCGCCGCTGTCTCGACAAGGGCTCGTCGCAGTGCGAGGGGCATGTTAAAAATCGCAATGCTGCGCCGTTACGAAGGTGGTCAGTCGGCTTGCCTGCGCATCTCCGGCGATCTTTATTGGCTTATGAGATCACTGCTGGCGACCGCTTCGAAGCAGCCGCCCACCACCCGTGGACGCTCGCAGTTCAGAAATACGCGTCTGGAGGGACCAGCATCGGACGGCGGCGCTGGCTCCAAGCCGCTGGAATTGGACCCATCTTTGCTGTGAGGTGGCGAGACCCTAATCGCAACGAGGAGGATAATAAAACAAGTTAAGTTAATGGTTGAGAGCCTAGCATCTAAAGCGACGGAAGTTGCGTTGTGGACATGGTGAAATAGCCATCCGAGGACGACGCTTGGCTGTCGGCGCTTTGAATCGACTGCGCCCAGGAGCGGCCCGTGCGATCGGCGTAGCTGTCGATCGACTCCTTTCCGGCAAGGCTGTAGAACGTGGCCGAGCTGCCTTCTTCGCCGTCGGACCGGTAGTCGTCGTCCTCGATGAGGAGCTCTTCGAGCAGTGGCGGCGACGGCTCGCTCTGGATGATCGACTCGTGGTACGTGACGTTGAGCATCGACGAGTTGGCGTCCGTGCACGGGCTGTCGATAAACGTCACCGTGTGGTAGTCGAGCGGCTCGTCGTAGGACTGGAGGCGCGGGAGGGACGACCGCTTCATGGGGTTGCTGCGCTCGGACGGCGGGAGCGTGTGCACAGGGAACCGGTGCAACGTCGTCATGATCGCGGTTCCGTTCGTGCTGCACTCGATGTTGATCGCCATCGGCCTCTCGAGCTTGGTTTGCTTGCGCTTGTGCCGGAAGACGACGAGGGCGACAAGCACGACGACCCAGACGACACCGGCAATGCACAACGTGAGCATGATGCTCGAGCCTTGACTCGGCGACGAACCCGCTTCATTGCTCGTCGCCACGGGCGGCGGCTCCGTCGTTGGCACGACCAGCGTGGTGTTCGAGTCGGCGTCGAGCAGCCACCGACGCATCGATCGTTCTACCTAATGACTATGGTCCGCCCAACGAGCCACGCAGCTGTGACACACGCTTGCGCCTGATTTGCCCAGGCGGAGCATTACAGCTTACATAGGGGCACGTTGATTGGTTTGGGAACGCGCCGACCCACCAAGTGCTGAGGCCGATTCGTACTCTAGACGCCGTGTCGCACTGGCGCGGGCTTGCGCGTCGTGCTTGCATCGCGTGTTCATGAAGCGCCCAAGACGCTTGCGCCACGACCGAGGTCGAACGTAAATGCACACAACCGCTGGATTGAAGAATGATGCTTCGGCGCGCTTCGCGGTGTGAGTAACTGCACCAGCATCGCGCCGTCATCTTCAACTAGGGCACGCAGAAAGACAATGATTGCTGAATCTCGTCCGTCCATTTTGCGCTGCATGGCACCGCTACATTCAAGTTGCAGCGCGCCAGAGCAACATCAATGAATGATAATCTGCAGAAGCCTTGGCAGATCGGTACGTCGTCGTCAAGGGCGCAGCGAACGTCGGCCGACGTCGCAGCGCGCCACGCAAGCATCTCGCCAGGCGGCGTCCTATGCCGTCGTTTCGTATGATAAAAAGGGCCATTGAAGCCACAATTTCATGGAATTGTAGCGAATCAAAAGGGCGAGGTGTAGATTTTTTACCCAATCCGCACACCTCGTTGCGATCTTCAGCGTGGTAGCGAGCTTGCCAGCTGCAGTGATCTTTCGAATGTGGCGGCTTTACGGGAGTGCTGGACAGTGGAGACTAGGCACGGAGACTAGGTACATTCAGAATCCGCAGCTGTCTCGGCCTTGAACATCACTTCCCGCTGCCGCTTCCGATTTCTCGTTTGATTTTGCACCCAATACACCACTGGACAACCTTTTTGGAGTACATGGGGAGAGCAATCTTGCCACGATCACCTTGCGCTTGCTCCGCACTGGCGACGCTAGGAGCGGCAACGCACCGAAAGGAAACGCGTTGCAGATCTGTGTATGCAAAGTCAAATAAACACTATTTCGTGTATCTGTGGCATGTGTATACGAATCATTATGTGAAATGGTGTTATATATCAAGCTATAGGGGTCTTGGCGATCCTATCGTGTTGTAGAGGTTGTTTATCAAGCGGTCAAATCAACAAAGCATTTGGTGGCAGCATGGCCGTCGTCGCGATGCTTCGCGCGCTCTGGGAAAAGTCGGCGCGGTACATGAGCTGGAAGACGTACGCGATGCTGGCCGTCTTCACGCTGGCGAGCATGCTGCGGCGCGTGGCGCAGTGGCGGCCGCGCCCGACGCTCCTCTTTAGCACCTTCCTCAAGGACGCGATGAGCAACAACATCCAACACGTCTCGCTTGCCGGCGAGTTCTTCCAGGTCTGTCGCCCATTATCGGTTAGCATGGCCTCATCCTAGTCGGCGCAGGTGACACTCAAGCAGAGCCTTGCGTCCGGCGTCCAGTCCTACCGGTACCAACTTGCGATCGCGCTACGAGCCGCATATCCGAGCGGCATGAACTAGGATCATTGTGCCACCGCGCACGGACCAGTCGTACATTGTTGACATTCTGTGCAAGCACGGCATCGACTTTGGGACGATGCAGCCGTCGCTGAGCAAGAAGGCGCTGCCCGTGCTCCTCGCCGTCATCCCCATCGTGTACCTCACTGCATAGCTCATCTCCTCATCGCCTTCGTCCTCATACGACGCATGCAACTCTAGGTACTTGGGCTTGACGTACCGCATGCTCCAAGGCATGATGGGCGGGTCCGAGCCTGGCATTGGCAAAGACGGCATGAAACGCGGCAAGCTCAACGCCGACGCCGCCAAGCAGCAGCGCATCTCGTTTGCGGATGTGGCGGGTATTGACAAGGCCAAGAAAGAACTCGGTAAGCGCGCCATCAAGTAGCAACCAACCATCATATCACACACAATCTTGCAGAGGAGGTCGTCGACTTTCTCAAGCGGCCGCAGCGCTACGAGACCATTGGTGCCAAGATTCCCAAGGTACGTACATGGTTTAGTCTCTGGCGGCTGCAGCTTAGGGCTAGGGTGTGCTGCTCTGCGGTCCGTCGGGGACAGGCAAGACCCTTCTGGCGCGCGCAGTTGCTGCCGAAGCCGGCGTCGCGTTCCTCTACTGCTCGGCGTCCGACTTTGTCGAGATGCTCGTCGGGCGCGGCGCGTCGCGCGTCCGCGACCTCTTTACGCAGGCGTCGCAGCACCCAAAATGCATCATTTTCATCGATGAGCTCGATGCGCTCGGTACGCTCGTCTTCATGGTGACACAGCACTAATTATCGGTGCTCTAGCCAAGGCGCGCGGCGGCCTCAACTCGAACGACGAGCGCGAGCAGACGCTCAACCAGCTTTTGACGGAAATGGACGGCTTTGAGGGCCACACGGAAGGTGTCATTGTGATTGCGGCGACGAACCGCCCGCATGTACGACCGTACTAGCGAGAAGCCAGCATCGAATAAAAGTCGACCGTAGGTGCTCGATCCCGCGCTGTGCCGGCCCGGCCGCTTTGACCGCCACGTGTACGTCGGGCTTCCGGACGCCAAAGGGCGCGAAGCCATTTTGCGCGTGCACATGAAGCGCATTCGGGCTGGACTGACGGTCACGGTCAGCGCGATTGCCAAGAACCCCAAGCTCGACGGCTCGTCGGGCGCGCAGCTCGCGTGCCTCGTGAACGAAGCGGCGCTCTTAGCGGTGCGCCACGGCGCGACCGTCGTCGAGATGCACCACTTTGAACTCGCAATCGACCGCATGGCCGAGACGTCAAACGTCGATACGCTCTACGGCGCCGTCCTGTAGGCGATCCCAGTCGTCAATGGCGCACAGATATTAGTACGATTACCAATCCGCCTAAAATACAACAACCATCATGTCTGCCACCAGGAATGACAGCTCACGACCAATATGAACAGATGAATCACTCTATGGACGACTCGAACGGCAGGGCAGGGATCGCCTTCACGGGCGACAGGTCAGGTTGTACTACACAAAATGCCTCGTGGGCTACCGAGACCACGAGGAACGTGAAAAAGCAGCGGCGACGGTGCGACGGTGCGACCTGCGGACGGAGTTTCAAAGTGGCCATGTGGCTGTATAGGTCGCAGCGATCCATCACGTGGTGGCGCCTTTTGTTGCATGACGCGAGCGCGTGCGCACGATGCGTAATCGGGCAACGTGACGCGCACCGTTTGGATCGACGCGCCGACACTTGGCGTGGAAACGATTTGACGTTTACGCGGACCCTTGGATTATAGCTGTAGCTGTAGCTGTAGCTGTAGCTGTTTTTCGTTATGTGCACTTTCGGTATACTTGCGACTCGACCGACAAGCTCCAGGGAATCCATCCTAGTGTAGTACTCTGTGACGGGCATCCATTTCGTGCCCGACGCCAGCTGGCAGGTGTATGACAACTAAGCGGTCGCTAATCATGGCCGGCGCGACAAAGCTGGCGCGACGCTGGGTGAATCTGGGTGCGCCGCCTCCCGGGATTATTAGGTCGAAGAAGAATCAGTCACGACTTTGCTTTCCATGACGAAGACGCCGCCGACGACCGAGCTCTTCACGGTGGCCGAGATCCACTTTATCTGCAGCGCGTTCGCGCCCGGCGTCTCGGCGCTCGAGCCCGCATACACGACTGACGTTGCCGCCATCGATTTCGGCTCCGCCCTGGAAACCGGCTTTGTCTGCCTTGCGGACGGCTGCGCCACATCGATTCCGTGGCGGCGAGGGCACTGCAAGGCCCATGGCGGTACCAAGCGCTGCAGCCACACGGGATGTCCGCGTGGGCCTCAGAAAGGCGGCTTTTGCATCGCCCACGGGGGCGGTCGCCGCTGCTCGATGGACGGCTGCAACAAGGCCGTTCAGACGCTCGGGCTCTGCAAGGCCCACGGCGGCGGCATCCGGTGCGGCGCCGACGGCTGTGACAAGAGCTCGCAAGGCGGTGGCTATTGCCGAAACACGGTGGCGGCAAGCGCTGTGCGTCGCCCGGCTGTCTCAAAGGCGTGCAGCGCGGCCAGTTTTGTGCCAAGCACGGCGGTTTCCGCCACTGCCATGTTGCAGGGTGCCCCCGCACGGACCGCGGCGGCGGCCTCTGCGATACGCACCGTATTCAAACCAAGTCGTCTACCCACGACATGTCCGTGCTCCACATTTAGCAGCAGCCGCGCCTAACTTATTTTATCTTGGTACACCCTTTAAAATTTTGTGAAAATCGGTCTATGAACCTGTCAACAGGTTGTATACCATGAGGTGACTCCCGCACCACAGCTTACAACTTCATGTTCAATATGCCAGTACTACATCTTCTGACCTTAGAGCCCTGACAGCCCCTGCCCTGACCTGACGTGCTACCACACTGGTCTAGCTTAACGTCGCTATCGCACTGGTCTAGCATAACGTCCACCAACGTTGTAGCTGCCACGTTATCCATTTGCAAAACGACAACACCGTCGCTCTTATGACGTCAGTTTGATGACCGCGGAGGGTCCTAAATGGCTGTACTCGTGGGCAGCATCGCTCGTGTGCTTGCACTGTCCCGCGCCGGTTGAGTGTTACATAAGTGTGGTATTACTATTAACTACAAGCGGCGAGCGCTTAGTTGGCTTCGTCGACGGTGGCCACACGCATGACGAACTGCTGGCCCATCTCGTGCTTGGCCGAGTCGCTCGAGAGCATGACGACCTTGTCGCCGCTGTGGAGCCAGCCGAGCTTCTTGGCCGTCAAGATCGCGTCGTGCAAGTTCATCTTGCACTTGGTCGGCGCCACGATCGGGTAGAGGCCACGGTGCACCTGGAGCTGGCGGCCGACCTTCTGGCTCGTCGTGTAGCACATGACGGGCACGCTCGGCTTGTGTTTGGAGACAAGGCGCGCGACGTCGCCCGTCTCGGTCATGACGACAATCATGGCCGCGTGGAGCGCCTTGGCCGTCGTCGCGACCGCACTCGCGACCGCCTCCTGCTGCGAGAGCGCGTCCGTCTTGTACTGCTCGCGCTTCGTGTACGCGTCGGCTTCCTTGACGACCGACATCATGGTCGAGACGGACTCGACGGGCCACTTGCCCTGGGCGACTTCGCCCGAGAGCATGACGGCGTCGGCGCCATCCAAGACGGCGTTGCCGACATCGAGGATCTCGGCGCGCGTCGGGCGCGGGTTGCGGATCATCGACTCGAGCATCTGCGTGGCGACGATGACGGGCTTGCCGACGGCGTTGCACTTGGCCACCATGTCCTTCTGGCACGTGAGCACCTGGTGCATCGGGATCTCGACGCCAAGGTCGCCGCGGGCCACCATGATGCCGTCCGAGACCTCAAGGATGCGGTCAAAGTTGGTCACGCCCTCGTAGTTTTCAATCTTGGAGATGATGAGCGGCGCCGGGTGCGACGACGGCCAGTACTTGGGCATGACCGAGTTGACAAAGTCCTTGACGTCACGGACGTCTTCGGGCTTGCGCACGAACGAGACGGCGATAAAGTCCATGTCGTGCTCGACACCAAACTCGACGTCCTGCTTGTCCTTGGCCGTGAGCGCCGGGAGGTCGACAACGAGGCCCGGGAGGTTGACGCCCTTGCGCGAGCCGAGCATCTCGGTGTTTTCAATGCGGCAGTGCACTTGGCCCGCCGCAAGGTCGACCGACTCGGCCGTGAGCGAGATGAGGCCGTCGTCGAGCAAGATCGTGTCGCCGACCTTGACCGTCATCGGCAGCTGCTCGTACGTCACGTACAAGAGGTCCGCCGTGCTCGCCTCCTTGTACTGGAGATCGGTCGTGAGCGTGATCTTGTTGCCCTTGAGCAGCTCGACCTTCTTCTCCGGAAAGGCGCCACCGCGGATCTCGGGGCCCTGCGTGTCCAGAAGGACAGCGCGGACGTTGAACTCGCTGCCAGTCGCCTTGGCATGCACGCCCTTGGACGCGCGGAGGTGCGACATGCGGAGAAGTGCTTCGTCGTACGTCGCGTGCGAGAAGTTGATGCGCATGATCTTGAGACCGGCGTTCGTGAGCTCCTGCGTCGTCTTGGCATTCTCCGAGACGGGGCCAATCGTGCCCACAATCTAGACACGTCCAGCGTCAGTCGGCGGCTGCAGAAAGGACGCATACCTTGGTCATCGAGAAGGCGTCCTTCTTGGACGGCTTGTGGCTCAAGCTGCGCGCAAGGAGCGAGCGGAGGCCAGCGGGGCGGAGGGACCGGGAGAGCATCGAGGACTAGTACTGCGAAGCGGATGGATGGTTCCGAAATGGCAACCATCGCCACTGGATTTCCGTGTTGGGACATGTCAATGTGGCCACATACAAAGATCAAGTAGTGCTTTGAGCCACATAGAAGTGGGCAGCCAGAGGCAAAGTGGGACATGCGTGGATTTATCCGCGGATCCTTGAACCACCCGGACGTATTTTCGGCATCATCGTTCAACACGAGGTGACGGAGACGCATGTTGATGCGGTCGTTCTACGTTCTCGGTAGCCACGACGTCTGCGCACGAGCATGCCTTGACGGTGGTCAGCAAATTTGAACCTGTCGTCGTTGGCGGAAGCAAGGCAGGACCAGAAATGCGTCTTGCAAGGGTGCGGCAGTGCTTGCATCCCCGTTGGTACAGGCTCACCCATGCACCCGTGACGAACCAGCCGGCCCTCGAATCTTCGGCGATGGCCACTCGCTTGAAGCGTTGAAGCGCTGCATTGCGAGCTTCCTTCATGGCTTCCGAGGGGCAGAGTAAAAATTGCACACCAGCACGCTTTCGAGCCACCAGACGATGTTGTCGATGATGCGGAAGACTAGGAGGGCAGGCTTTACGCTAGTATATTTAGTATGCAACCAGCTTTCATGGGCCAAAGCGATTTCGCTGGCTGCGACGCACCAGCTGCCTTGTGTCTCGAAGGCGGTGTGTATCGGCATGCCGAATTTAAGCGAGGATGCGGCACCATCCGGATAAGAACCTAAGAACGGTTTCCTAGATCGATGGCGCGATGGCGATCGTCACTCGTCACATGCGAGCGGCCATCAGGGTAGACGCGCATGATTGCCTGCGCCATCCATTGGAGACGCTTTAGTAATTCACGCCCTTGACCCATCGCTAGGACCCCTAATACTCTAGGCGGTGAGGATATACAGTATGGCTTTCACCATCGCTTCTTGGCGCCAAAATATGGGAAATGTGCCGCGGGTCACCACCAGGTCGCCGACACTTCTGTGTTTGAGGCACCCTCTTCGCCTTGAAGAGAACACGTGCCCGGGGAGCCGTGTCGACGACCACAGTGTACAGACGTCTCTTCTATTGTCGCTGCGACTATCAAAAGAGGTAGTGTGCCACGGTGACACACGGAGATTTTCACAACCGAGACGGACAAACACCGGTCCCGTGCGAGCTCTGCAACGACAAACACAAATGAAGACACAGGTAGCTTTCCTTTGGTATTCTCGGGTCTTATCAGCAGCCCGCTATCATGGGCCGCGAGCGGTGGTCTCGTCCCATGAGACCGACCACGAATGCTGCGGGCTCACATGCCGGCAAGGGCGTGGAGTGATCACGTCGCACGGCGGCCTTTGGTAACACTGTTTGGCGACGATGCCATGGACGCGATAACCGACAAATCAATAGAGTAGATTGCAGAATTAGTTTGGAGCTACTTGTCTTGCATGGCGTTGTCGGTCGGCGACGTGCTCGGCTTGTCTTTCTTGGCGCGCTTTAAGTACCGCTGGCCCTCTTCTCGGTCGCGCGCCAGGGGCATGTCGTCAACGTCAAAAACGACGGGCGCTGCTTGGCGGACCAGAACGTCCTTTGGAGGACTATTTGCGGGACTGCGTCGTGTGGCATGACTGCCGCCAGCTCTTGGTCACGGCCCACCATGCCACGCAGCTGCGCAACGTCTGTCTTGACCGACTCGAGCATACCAAAGAGCTTGGCGATGACCACGTCCTTTGACTTGGAGCTGCTTGAGAGGGCTCCGATCGCAGCGTCGCAGTCGCGCATCTTGGCCTCAAGGATGTGAACGAGGTCGACACCCACCGTGGGCATGTCAAAGACGTAGACGATCGGGGCCGCAAATTCGACCTCGATCGTCAGCTTCAAGCTCAACGACCCATCGCTCCGAGGCAATACATCCACGTGCGCCTGTTCGACTAGACTCCGCTACAATCGCATAGCATACATTGTACGATCTCAGCAATGAGGTGTCAACCTCGAGGCAACTCAGGACGATGGACAGCGGGAGCATGACGGCGTCCGGCGCGTGCTCGCGGAGGTCCGTCACACGCGTTGTCCTAGCAAATGCACGCATTTAGCCAACGAAAACTCTCTCTCTGCGTCTACCACTGCTCTTTCGATCGCGTCGACTCGAGCCAGAGCTTGAAGACGTACCGGTCATGCGGCGCGTGTAGCTGGACGCGGTAGATTTCTTGAGGATCCGTCGGAAACGTTGCCGCGGGTAGATCCACAAGCGTCTCGTACACCACCGATGCGTCGTCGTTGCCGTCTGCCATTGGATTCAAATCGACAAATGCCGGCGCTATTCTATCGGTGCTCCAACTGCCTTTTCTTCAGGGCTCACGAGGTGGGGGCAGCGTGGGACGGGGCGTTCAAACGGCGGGTCGTCGTGCACCATCGCATTGTTGATTTTCTGGTATCTCAACCGTCTCATCGACGGATCCAACCATTCGCAACGGTCATTATCACGCTTTGCTTTCCGCTCAGCTCCGACTTGCCTTGCCAAACTCTGCTATATGTCGCTCGGAAGTGTCCGACCAGCTACCGACGTCGGCTGTCGTTAGATTGGCGTGTGCTTTCAGGACGCTTGGCGCGCTGGTTTGTCGACAACAGCTCACCCTTGTGTGCACTTGCGCGGTACGAATATTGTCGCACTCACGGCCGGTTCGTTGGTGTTTGCACTTTCGACCTTCTCTGCGACGAGCCATCGCGTGAAACGCAGAGCCTTTCTCTGACCACACTATTGAGTCCATCTTGGCCAAAACCGGTACGCTCGTCATTACGAAGGAGCTTGCACAACGCAATCAGATGTACTATGTATAGATTTGTCTCTCACTAATGTACATCGTCCGCTCTCTTTTCATGCATTTAAATGTAATGCATGCACTCGCATGTTGAGCACTCCCTCTAGCAGCATTGCGCGCTTTGGCACGCTACCACGTGAAGATTGCGGCTCAGCGAAACGCAAGCGATCATTTTGTCGCGGAACAGCCCGAGCTCGGAACGCTTCAGTTTTACTTGTGAACGTATAACACAACAGGTTTTATGTATCGGACCAAACAGAGTTTCGCTCCCAGAAGAACTTCAACGAGACCGCGTCCAACGTTGCTTGTCAAGCGAAACCGTCGCCGTGGTCGGTTTCACCAACGCGCTCTCTGATTGGGTACCCAGGAATCCCGCGATCGGATTGGTTGTAATTGGGTGCATTTCCGAACGTGTCAATCTTCCCACATCCAAATTCAACGATGGGGCAGGACGACGAAGCGCTCCTGGGCGAGACGCGGGCCGCCGAGGCCGTGTGCGACATCACGTCCGACGATGGCCTCTTCGTGCGCATGCGCTCGCAGCATGAGCCATTGGCTAAGGTGTTGGCTAGGACGAAGCTGCCCGCGAGAGCTGCACGATCGCGCTCGCCAAGTGCTCTGGCGACATTGCACTCACGCTTCCGACGAGCTCGCCAGCCAAGAAACATGCGAAGCAGGGCACGCTTCACGGCGTGTACCTGCCCTGTCTCCAGACCCTTATTGGTGTCGTCTTCTTCTGCCGCATGCCATGGGTCACCGGCCAAGCGGGTGTACCGCTCACGTGCTTTCTCTTTGTCATGTGCCAGTCCGTGGGCTACTTGACAGCGCTCTCCATCTGCGCGCTCGTCACAAACGGTAAGGTCGTCTACGGTCCGATCCTTCCACGATCGTCGCTAGGCAAGATCGCGGGTGGTGGCGTCTACTACTTGATTTCGCGCACGATTGGCATTGGTACCGCTACGAAGTGCATGCAGCTAGACACTCTCTCTTGTTGTATAGAGACGGGCCTCTCGGTGGGCCTCCTCGTGTTTTGCGGGGCGTCGTTTGCGATCGCGTTCACGGTGCTTGGCGCCGTCGAGACGCTGGCCAACATTTTTGATACGAGCCAGTGGATCGTGGCGGATCATCGCCTCCAAGCGCTCATTCTCCTGGCCGTCCTCGGCGCCATTGCCGGTGTTGGTACGTGAATCGAGTCCTCTGCATGCCAACATGCAATTAGGCATGAAGTACATCGCTATGGTCGGTTTTGGGTGCTTTATCATGGTGACTCTCTCGATTGCGAGCTCGTTCCTTGGGCTTTTGGTCCTTGTTGCGACTCCGAGGTAGACGCGTCGTTTACGGGTCGTTTTCTTTATAGATACGATGCGTAGTGCATCGTCGACGCCAATTGCATGGTTTGAGAATGCGCACACCAATTTCACGCAAGACCCAACGACCGGCATCATGCCGACAGTGACCACCATGATCTCCGTGGTGTATCCTGGCACGACGGGCTACATGGCCGGGGCCATGCGGTGCGCAGACAGACGACAATGGCTCGGAAAGAGCGAGGTCATTGACATTCTTACTGCATAGATCCGGTGTTTTGGCGACACCGTCGCGGTCCATTCCGCTGGGCACCCTAGGTACATGTATACAATTCGTATGGGTTTCGGATCGTCACGATGGGTTGGCAGCGGCCATGGTCACGGTGCTCGTCCTCAACTTGGCATGCGTCATCTCGGTCGGCAGTACGATGCCCAATCACGTGCCCTCCCTCCCCTCCCGATGCAAAAATTGATGGAGAGTGCGTAGGTCCTCAAAACAGACAAGTTTATTCTATCGACGGTCGCGTGGCCCACCAAGCAGCTCATCAACCTCGGCATCTTCTTCAGTGCGATTGGCGGCGCCCTTCAAAACCTCACGGGGCACCCGCGCATGCTCGCGGCCATGGCCAACGACAATGTGATTCCATTTCTGCGGCCGTTCGCGGCCAAAGACTCGGACGAGCCACGAAAGGCCGTGGGGTTGATCCTCGCTATGTCGTGTCTTCCGTGCATTGCTGGTAGAATCCCCATCGCGACATTTCGAAAACGCGATTTCTTGTATGACAACTTGTCCATTCCTAGGGAACCTGGACTTTTTAGCGCCGTTCCTGACCATGTCGAGTCTGATGCTGTGCGCGACGCTCAATTTTGCGTGCTTTTCGATGGCGTTGGGCCACGCCCCGGGCTTTCGTCCCAAGTGGTATGTACTAAGATCCCTCTCTACGCGGAACTTTGTTGTGGTCTAGGCACTACTTTCATTGGTCGACCGCGCTGCTCGGTAGCATGGGCAGCATCGGCCTCATGCTCTTCTTCTCGTGGACCAAAGCCATCTTGGCCATCCTGCTCTGCGTTCTAATTCGACTCTACGTGCGCTGCCTCGGCTTCAAGAAGGACTGGGGCTCGTCGATTCGGGGCATGCACCTCGAACTCGTATTCTCAAGCTCTTCGATCGCCTCGAGTCTCAAATTGGCGTGGTAGGCGTGCTGGCTCTTGCAGTGCCTCAACCAAACGGAGGACGAGGAGCACACAAAGAACTGGCGGCCCCAAATCCTAGTCTTTTGTAAACGAACGCCCGCAGTCTCCCGTCGAGCCCGCGACTGCTCGACTTTGCGAGCCAGCTCAAAGAGGGCCACGTACACTCGGTCACTACTGCATTCCGTTTTAAATCGGGTGTGTTTAGGGGCTCGTCGAGGTCGTCAACTTGCTCGCAGGCAAGGACGACACGACGTACGATGTGGCGTCGGAAGCCACGCACCGACTCCGAGCGCACTTGCTTGGTGCGCACATCGCTGGTTTCGGTCACGTGTACGCATGCAAGAACATTCTCAAGAGCATGGGCACCGTCGCGGAAGCCTCGGGCATGGGTCCGCTGCGCAGCAACACGGTGCTGCTTGGTTGGCCCAAAGCGGCTGCGACGCGCGACCCTGCGTTTCTTGACGACTATGTTGACATGCTCCACGAGATCATCAACTGTAAGAAAGCGCTGCTACTGGCCAAAGGCCTCGCCTCCTTTCCGTCTAACGACGACAGTCGGCGCGGCACGGTCGACATTTGGTGGGTCCTCCATGACGGCGGGCTCCTCCTACTGGTTGGGATCTCTCTACCCTCCTGCGTCTCGAATCCATACTCCTAGATCCCGTACCTTCTTCGGTTGCATTTCGTATGGCGCAAGAGCAAGCTTCGGCTCTTCACGGTTGTCTCGATGAAGGAAGATGCTGGCGAGGTGCGCGGAGCAACGATGCACGTTGTGTCTCATCAATGCAGTAGATTGCGGCGCGCCTCGCCGACTTTTTAGAAGGGGTCCGCATTGAAGCAGAGGTCCACGTCGTGCCACTGCGGAATGCAACGATCTCGTCGCTCCTCATCAAGCGCACCAAGGACGAGTTGTTGAAGAAGAAGGAAGCGCTTGCCGCCATGAAGGTACACAGCATAAACAGGTACACAGCATAAACATACACATCGAACTGAGCCCACACATCGCGCAGGTGACGACCATGTCCTTCGCCATCCGCGACGGCTACGAGCAGCTCGTGGACGACCTCAGCAACGTGGGCACGGCCATCGACGACGACGAGCGGTCCCGCGGGAAGCGCTTTGCCGCGTCGCCACCACCGACCTCGTCCGACACGCGCCTCGTGCACGCCCAGCTCATGAACCAGCACATGCTTGTTCGTTTTCATTGAATAGGGTAGCGAAGAGGATGCTGACGATGCGTAGGAGCACTCGGGCGACGCATCGCTCGTCGTGGTGAACCTCCCGCGCCTCATCGGCGTCCCCGCACTCTGCTGTACGAGTTTCTTCTCGGAGAAGGCATCGTCACCACCCCGTTGCGTGTCTAGTTGTGACGTACGTTGAAGCGCTGACACAGCACCTACCGGCGGTGCTACTCGTGCGGGGCAGTGGCCGCGAAGTCGTGACCTTGAACGCCTGAAGTCCACAAGATGACCATCGTTTTATATAAATGCTGGGGCTAATACATGTACCCTGGGCGCCTTGATGCAAAGAAATTTCTAGTTAGTAGAGTAGTCGAATGACAATATTGTGTACGCAGCGAGATTGACTTGTTTGGCGCCAAAAAACAATGTGGTCAGCTTATTGCTGACGTTTCGTGTCTTGGATTTCAACCAATCGGCATGCCTCATCTCGAAAATGCCTCTCTGTGATTGGTGAGAAATCAGCTATAATCTGCTCTTTTGGCAGCAGGTCGTCGAACACCGAAGTCGATGGTGTCGAAGTTCGAAGTGAAAACGCATTTCGATTGGCCAAAATGCTGAACCTCCCTCTTGTCCAGTAAATGAGGCCCTCCAGTTCGCGATTCCCCGAAGGCCGTGATA